TCTCTCTGTTCCAGCCACACACACCTCACTGTTCCTCCAATACCCCAGGCCCTGTCCTGCCCCAAGGCCTTTGCACAAGCTGTGCCCTCTGCTTGGGATGTTCTTGCCCTACATATATACTTGGTCCTTCCCTCATCTTCTTTATGTTTCAGCTCATGTGTCATCTTCTCAGCAACTACTCTATTTTTGACATTAGATCCCTCACCCTCACTTCTCCAGGTTATCAGCTCTGTGAAGGTGGGGGGATTTTGTGTATCTTGTTCCACTGCTGAATCCACAGTACCTAGAATAGTGCCTGACATATAGCAGGTATTTGTATTTGTTAGAGTCATGCACAGAAACAGAACCAATAGGATGGATACATATCTTTTATAGATAAAAGATTTTTTAAAGAATTAATTTATTTATTCATGAAAGACACACAGAGAGGCAAAGACATAGACAGAGAGAGAAGCAGGCTCCCTGCAGGGAGCCCGATGCGGGACTTGCTCCCGGGACCCTGGGATCATGACCTGAACCTAAGGCAGATGCTCAACTACTGAGCCCATCCAGGTGCCTCAGATAAAAGATTTATTATGAAAAATAATAAGGTTCACATGATTAGGGAGGCTGGCAAGTCCTAAGATCTTTGGGGTGACATGCAAAGGTCCTGAGACCAGAAGGAATTTGAGGAACTGAGCAAAGGTGAGCATGGCAGATGGGACAAGGTAGGAGATGAGCTGGAGAGGTTGGCAGGTGCCCAGTCACACAGGGTTGGTTTGCGATTCTGGTTTGGGGTGGGTGTGAGTTGTGAGCAATTGAGCCAGAGTAAGAGAATAATGGGAAACTCGAATGAGAGACTGTAAGTGGCAATGTTCCGGAAGTTTGCAAAGAACAATGTTGCCTCTGTAGGCGAAAGAGGAAGTTGTTAATGAGAAGAGATGCAATTGAGGTGTCCTGCAGGGAAGTGAAATAAGCAAAGCATGTTATAGGAAGTAAAGAGCTGACTCTTCAAGACCCTAAGCATAATCCACCCCTTAATGTTTTTGGAGCACTTTATAAGGTGCTTTCCCGTTCTACCGATTGGTATTGGCATTACTGTTCATTCCTCTTCCTTTCACACCCTCCATCCAATCTGTTGGCAAATCCTGCTAACATTGCCTTCAGAATAGACCCCTAATCTTCTGCCTTCCATTCTTCCCAGTGGGGTTGCCTCTGCCCTCCTTGCTTACCTGGACAGGTGCAGGTACCTCCTCCCTGGTCATTCTGCTCCTGCCCCTCTGCACTTCATCTTCCGGCCAGGGGCCACAGGATCCTGCTCAAACCGCAGTCCTGTTGGGTCCTGCCTGTGTTCAGACTCTCCCATGGCACCCATTGCTCTCTGATAGAAAGCCGAGGTATGCCAGCAGTCAAGGAGATCTAACACGATCTGGCCATGTCCAGGCTTCCCTTTCCCCCCTGCCCACTCTGCTCCAACCACACTGGCCCCCCTGTAACTCCACCACATCTCCAGGCGTGGTCCTGCCCCTGAGCCCTTCATGCACTTGCTGTTTCCTCTGCCCCAAGTACCATCATAGCTCACTCACCTCCCTCTGCTCTTTGTTCTAATTGTTAGTTTTTCAGCTATTACTGAGCACCAAATGTGTACTGGGCACTGTGTATGCATTTAGCACACAGCAGTGAATGATACGGACACAAGTCCTTGACTTCAGGAGCTCAGAGTCCATCAGGGCTTAATCAGTTACAGACTTAATCAATTACAAATTTTTTTACAAAGAATTGTTTTAGAAATTACCTGAAAATTGATTCCATTTCTGGCCAGATCTACCTCTTCTTGGGTAGCACTCATGAAAACTGCTCACTTCAGGTTTCAACAGGCTTGGAGCTGCCACTCACCAGGTGTGTGTCCTTGGTCAAGTTACTTGACCTCACTGAGCCTCAGTTGTTCACATCTGTGTAATGGTAATTGTATCACTTTCCTATGGTTGTTCTAGCAAATTATCACAAACTTGGTGGCTTCAAACAACAAAAACATTACCTTATGGGTCTGGAGGAGGTCAGAAGTCCAAAGTGGGTCCCACTGGGCTAAAATCAAGGTGTTAGCAGGGCTGTGTTCCTTTCTGGAGGTTCTTTTTCTTTTTCTTTTTTTTTAATTTTTATTTATTTATGATAGTCACAGAGAGAGAGAGAGGCGCAGAGACATAGGCAGAGGGAGAAGCAGGCTCCATGCACCGGGAGCCCGATGTGGGATTCGATCCTGGGTCTCCAGGATCACGCCCTGGGCCAAAGGCAGGCGCCAAACCGCTGCGCCACCCAGGGATCCCTATTTTTATTTTTAAAAAGATTTTATTTATTCATTCATGAAAGAGAGAGAGGCAGAGACATAGACAGAGGGAGAAGCAGGCTCCTCACATGAAGCCTGATGTGGGACTTGATCACCGGACCAAGATCACCCTCTGAGCCAAAGGTAGATGCTCAACCACTGAGGCACCCAGGGGTCCCTTTCTGGAGGTTCTATAGGATAATCTGTCTTTTCACTTTTTCCAGCCTCTAGAGGTCACCTGAATTCCTTGCCTTGTGTCCTTCCTCCTCCATCTTCAAAGCCAGCATTAATTGGTCATGTCTTTCTCAAAGGGTGTCACTTTGCCTCTCCTGGCTCCATCTTCCATTTATAAGGACCTTTGTGATTACCTTGATTACCTTGGACCCAACTGGATAATCCAGAATAACCTCCAGATTAATCTCTTCAGCTCAGGATCACTTGGTTGCTAATCTTAATTCCATCTGAAACCTTAAGCCTCTCTTGCCACAGGCATAGCATATTTGTAGGTTCCAGGGATTAGGATGTGGTCATCTTTGGAAGGGTCATTATTGTGACAACCAAGGGAATGGTAGTATCAAATAAGTCTCTTCCCAGGCACCTAGAAGCCTGCCTCCACATCTGGCTTTCTCTTTCTCTTTCTGGAGCTCACAGTGTGGCAGAGGAAATAATAACTAAAAAGCTAATCATACAAATAATTGAGCAACTATAAGTGTCAGAAAGAAGGAGCACGTGTAGCTTTCGAGGAGTCAGGGGAGGCTTTTATGAGGATATGATACTAAAGCAAGACCTGAGGAGTGAATAGGAGCTGGCCAGATGAGCAGAGGCAAAGGGAAGAACATGAGCAAAGGCCCTGCAGTGGGAAGTCCTGGACATTGAGAGTAATAGGAAACGAGGCTTAAAGATGTGGTTGGGTCTGGTCCCTGGGGCTTTGTGGGTCCTGTTTAGTGATTTGGATTTGAATTCTGAGTGCAACAGGCAGCACTGTAGGCAGCGGTAGGGGTAGATGATCAAATATGTGTTCAGAGATGGCTACTATGTGGAGAAGAGATTGCAGTGGACAATGGAGGATTTAGGGATGCAGAATCCAGAGGAGGAGCTGTACCAGGCATAGCCGTGGTGATAGAGAAAATCAGGTAGATGCCAAATGCTCCTTGGACAGAGAACCAACAGGGCCTGTGGACCCACTGGATGTGACGGTGAGGAGCTAAACAGGCAAACTGAGGTCCAGGGAGGTGCAATCACTTGTCCCAGAGCTGGACTGGCTAGGATGTTGTTTTGACTGTTTCCACAGAAACCAAACAACAACTTAGAAATTTAGCTCTTAGAAGGACATTCTTCTCATAAATTTCCAAACTGTAGATGAAACAGGGTGACAGGGCTGCCCAGATCATCCCAGATTCCAGGTGCCTTCCACTTGTTACCTCTCCATCCCTCAGCATGTGGTTTTCCAGGCCATCATCCCCATGGTGAAGGATAGATCAGCCTCCTCTGTCCATGTTTCAGCCAAGGGGAAGAGGAAAGGGGAAGAGGAGAAGATGCCTTTTGTCATTAAGGGTATGGCCAAATAGTGTGCATATCACTTCTGTGCATGCTGAACTTAGCCACCGGGCCACACCTAGCTGCAGGACACACAGAGAATGCAGTCTTTAACTGGAAGTCATGTTACTACAAGGAAGTAGGGGACGTGGGTCTGGGGAAGAACTGCTGTTCTCTGCTTGATGGTTTATTGCTGGAGGTTTTTGTTCTGTTTTTGTTTTGAACCTGGGTCTTCTGTGCTTCAAAGGCTGAAATTTTGAGTCTCAGACTCTTCTATCTAGAGGTCTCATGCCCATGGCGTGGTCCATGGACCAGCAGCATCAGATTCAATCAGGAACTTGTGAGAAACACAGAATCTCAGGCCTCTTTCTTGACCAGCAGTGTCAGCATTTGCTTTTTCCAGACCTGGGACCGAGGGGAGGCAGATGCTGTTGGTCTGAGGACCCCCTTTGGAGTAGCAGGTGTCCACGTCACGGCATTTCACACTTTCCTGTGCACACAGATCACCCAGGGTCTTGTAAAAATGCAGATTCTGATTCATCAGTTCTGGGGAGGGGCCTGACAGGTTGCATTTCCACCAACTCCCAGGCAGTGCTGGTGCTCCTGGCCCATGAAGTACTCTTGGAGCAGCAGGGGTGTAGAGTCTCCAAGGTCCCTGACAGCATTGAGCAGTACCTCAGAGCTGCTATAACCAGTTGCTACCAAACAGAGGGCTTAAAACAAGGGGAAGTCTATTCCCTCGCCATTCTGGGGCCCAGAAATCTGAATTAAGGTGTCTGCAGGGACATGCTTTCCCTGAAGCCTCTAGGGAGAGTTTGTCCTGGTGTGGCCAGAAATCCTTGGTGTTCCTTGGTTTGTAGCCACACGACTCCAGTCTCTGCCTCTGTCACTAGGTGGTGTTGACCCTAAGCTGACCATGTGCCTCTTTTCTTATAGGGATGCCAATAATATCAGTTTAAGGGGCCTCCTACTCATCCTCATGGAGGTCTTAATTACATCTACAAAGACTCTATTTCCAAAAAAGGTTATTTTCCCAGGGACCAGGGCTTAGGTCTTCCAGAGGTAGTTCAGCCTACAGCAGTCCCCTTTACTCTCTCATGCTGGCTCCTCTGGAAACCCACTCTGGGGCTCTTACCTGACTTCTTGCTTCTGTGCTGCCCAGATGTGAATGAGTGTGCAGATACCACCACGTGCCCAGCTTATGCAAAATGCATTGACACTTCGGATAGTTACTACTGCACTTGCAAACGAGGTTTTCTATCCAGCAATGGAATGGAACACTTTAAGGACCCAGGAGTGACATGCATAGGTGAGTACATACAACCTCATAACCCTCTAGCATTTTGTAGGAAAATCGGGTGGAAGCTGGTGGGGTAGTGGATGTAGGTATTCTTTCTTTTCCCTCAAATATTATTTGCGCCCTCTCTCCCTCTCTGACCATTGCTTTCCTTTATTTTTCTATAATGACAACAATTCCTGCTCACTAAAACTTCCAATGATTTGGAGCTGGCGTTAGCATGGAAATAAAAGTAAAAACCATGCTATTTGTTTATGTCCAGAAATAGCGGCTGCTTTCATTTTGGGAGAACTCCTTTTCATTGCCTCTCCATGCAGAAAACAAGAATTTCTAACATTCACTGAATACCTGGTCCCCTGTGGAGGGCTCTCAGTGCATTTTTACATGAAACTGAGTGCAGGCATTGTGATAATCTCTAGTGTACAGATGAGGAAACTGCTTGGAGCCCCAAAATGATGCATTCATGGTCATGTGGTTGAACTGGCCTCCAAACCCACATCTTGCAGAATCTAACAGCAATCTCTGAATCATGTCATCTAGTTGTAAGCTGTTGGGGGAAGGTATTTACCCTCTCTAAGCCTCAATGTTCCCATCTGTAGAGTGACTATAGAATAATAACTACATCAAAGGATTTTGGGAAAATTAAATGCAGTCACGTATGCTATGGGCATATGCAAGAAGTATCACTAACATAAGTCATATGAATTGAGATAGTCCCTAGAAAGATTGAAGTTCTTTATCTGCATTTCTTCCTTTTAGATCTTGATTCTCCCCTCCACAGTCAATATCTGACAGTCACCTCTGAATATAACCAGCAGTGCAAGCCAACTTTTTTATGCCAGGGACCAAATAGTAAATATTGTGGGGGTTGCAAGCCATAGGATCTGTCTCAGAAACTTTAATACCCCAGTTGTAGTGGGAAAGCAGCCATAGATGATATACAAATGAATGATGTGGCTTTGTCCCAATAAAACTTTATTTATACAAACAGGCAGTGGACTCGATTTGCCTCACAAGCTATAGTTTGCTGGTCTCTGAAGAAGATAATTGGTTTCTATTGTTGTAGTTCCCTTGGAGCCCCAAACCCTCTTTATTTTGGTGTTACAATTTATGGGTTATTCAGTAAGCTTCAGTAATCCTGATGGGCCCTGGTTTTAAACTTTGGATTCAAATCAACATTCCCCATCTAGCAAAGTATGGTTACCATAGCAAGGATTTCATCCACTTTATACCTTTGATCTCTGTGTGGTGCCTGATATCTAGTGAGTAGTCAGGTGATATCTGTGGAACGAAGGAACACATTCCTTATTCTTTATGTCAACCCCAGATTTAATCAGCCTTTATCGCTGGTTCCTAATGTTTTACTACTTCACAGAAAGGTGGAACGAACATTCCTGAGGTTTGATCCTGATGTACAGTGGCAGCTCCAGATTGCTGTGTAGGAGAGGCCCAGTTTTCTGGGAGAGGCTATAAGAAACTCACCTTGAAGCTGTATTTGCATGCCATGGATGTTGCAAGGGTTTAGGATGACTTGGCAGAGCAGAGCTGAAGGAGACTTGGGGCTGGACCACCCCACCGTACCATGACTGCACAATTTTATGGGCCCTCCACTGAGTAAATTGCTCTATGGGCTTTTTAAGTTCTTTTTAAGCTACTTCTTCTTTATCTACTGCTGAGTAGCAGAACTCCTGCCAGCTTAGTACATCCAAACAAGGACAATCATTTATTTTGCTCATGGATATATCTGTCATTTTGTTTGAGTTTGGTGACGTGGCTTGTCTCTGTTCCATGCAGTGTCAGCTGAGTTGGCTCAAGTGGGGGCTGGAGGATCCACCTGAAAGAGAGCACACTCACATGGCTGCTCAGCTGGTGCTGGCCTTGGGCTGTCTGCCCCACCAGGGCTGAGGGCTGAAGCTCTGGTTCTTCTTCTCATAAGTTGTTTCTCCATGGCTGGTTGGGCTTCCTCACAGTATGGTGGCCAAGTTCCGAGAGAACAAGGAGGAAGTGCATGGTATCTTTATGACTGTGTCACCAGCCTCATAGTCCCATCATGCTCAGATACAAGGGGAGTGAATACAGACTCCACTGCTTGCTGGATGGACTACAAATACACATAGAATGAAGGGCATACAGCATGGCAGACATCATTTCTGCCATCTTGAAAAACAATGTGCTACACAAGATAAGGCAATTTTGTAACTCCACCTCTTTCTGGATCCAGATATAGATGAGTGTTCTCAAAGCCCCCCACCATGTGGTCCCAACTCAGTCTGTGAAAACCTTCTGGGGAGGTACAAGTGCAGCTGTTCGCCTGGTTTCTCTTCTCCCACTGGAAATAAATGGATCTCGGGAAATCCAGGTCGTTTCATCTGCACAGGTAATGCTCTCAGGCATGGGTCTCTGGGGGACAGTGACCTCTCTTGAGCTGGGTACATATGCCTCTCACCCTAGACACACCATCTTGGGTCTGCTCACTCTCCTCCACTGCTCCTCAGACATCAATGAATGCCTCTCCCGTGGGGTCTGCCAAGAGCATGCTGAGTGTATCAACACCTTGGGAAGCTACAAGTGCAGATGCCAGGTTGGATTCATCGCTCACAACTCCATCTGTGAAGGTATGGAGGTCCTGCTTTTCTTTATTTACCTACTTAATCCATTAAGAACCACCTCACTTGATGATCATGTGTGGTAGGGATTATGATCTTCTGTTTGGGGATGAGAAAATCAAGGCTCAGAGTATTGAAGTGACTTCCCCAAGGACACACAGCTGTTCACTAGAATAGCCAGGATTTGAAGTACTGCCGAGGACCTACTAAGAGACAGGTAGTGGGTCAGGCTGTACTGGAGAGTAATGAAGGGCTGTGTCTTTGCTGTCATATCCTCTCAAGGGATGCTGGCAATGTCTGGAGGCACTTTAATTGCCATAACTGGTCGTATTCAAGGGGGCTTGTGGGTGCTCTCTGTTCTAGTGAGGAGACGCTAGAGATGCTGCTAAAAACCCTGCAGTGCATGGAATAGCTTCCCTACACCCCAAACTAACCTGGTCCCAGATACCAGTAGTTCTGAGGTAGAGACACTCTGTAGTAGGAGATGCTCAGACTCAAACTTCACAATTTTTTCCCAAAAGAAAAAATTCACATAGAATGAAGGGCATACAGCATAGCAGACATCATTTCTGCCATCTTTGAAATTACAATGTGCTGCACAGTTTAAGAGAATTCTGTAATTCCAATTCTTTCTGGGTCCAGATATAGATGAGTGTTCTCAAAGCCCCCCACCATGTGGTCCCAACTCAGTCTGTGAAAACCTTCTGGGGAGGTACAAGTGCAGCTGTTTGCCTGGTTTCTCTTCTCCCACTGGAAATAACTGGATCTCAGGAAATCCAGGTCGTTTCATCTGCACAGGTAATGCTCTCAGGCATGGGTCTCTAGGGGACAGTGACCACTTGCATTGGGTACGTGTGCCTCTCACCTTAGACACGCCGTCTTTGTTCTGCTCACTCTCCTCCACTGCTCCTCAGACATCAATGAATGCCTCTCCCGTGGGGTCTGCCAAGAGCATGCTGAGTGTATCAACACCTTGGGAAGCTACAAGTGCAGATGCCAGGTTGGATTCATCGCTCACAACTCCATCTGTGAAGGTATGGAGGTCCTGCTTTTCTTTATTTACCTACTTAATCCATTAAGAACCACCTCACTTGATGGTCATGTGAGGTAGGGATTATGATCTTCTGTTTGGGGGTGAGAAAATTAAGGCTCAGAGTATTGAAGTAACTTCCCCAAGGACACACAGCTGTTCACTAGAAGAGCCAGGATTTGAAGTCCTGCTGAAGGCCTACAATGAGACAAGCAGTGGGTCAGGCAGTAGTACTTGAATGTAACGAATGGCTTTGTCCTGGAAGTTATATCCTCTTAAGAGTTTCTGGCAATGTCTGGAGTCATTTTGAGTGTCATAATGGTGGTATTCAAGGGGCATTGTGGATGCTACTGTGATCTAGTGAGGAGAGGCCAGAGATACTGCTAAATACCCTGCAATGCATGGAGTAGCTTTTCTACACTCAGAAATAATCTGGTCCCAGATGCCAGTAGTTTTGAGGTAGAGAAACTCTGTCCTAGGAGTTGCTCAGATTCAATCTTAGGAATTTTTTCCTAAAAAGTATTGGACTGGAGTCTTAAGAGTTACCCTCGACTCTTTACCCCCACTCCCATGTCTATATTAAATCAGTCTTCATATCTTAGGGAATTTACCTGCTAAATATGTCTTTAAACTCTCCATTCTTCCCCATCTTGGTTCAGGCTCAACTACTACTTTAGCAACCTCTGCACTGGGCTTTCTCTTCCTCTCATCTTGTCCTTTTGAATTCATCCTTCAAACTGCAGCCAGAATATTCTCACAAGATGCAAGCGCTCCATCTTCCTGATTCTGGTGCAGTACTACTATTCTCCATGCTCATTGGTACAGAGGGTGACTCCATCAAGCAAGTCATGGAGTGATCAAGTCCTTATCACATGCCCTTGGCTTGGAGTGAGAGATATGGAAATCCTTTCTAATTTTTCTGATCCATTTATAGCGGTTAGATACTGCTGAGTAACAAGTTACCCTGAAAGTCAGTGGCTAGAAACAAATACCATCTATTTAGCTTTCTATTCTGTGCATTGGAAGTTTAGGTTGGGCTTTGCTGGTCAGTTCCTTGGGTCTCTCATGTGCTTGTTCATATATCTGTGGTCAGCTATGGGTCAGCGTGTTGCATCTCAGCCGGTGACCTCCCATGAAGGGGGTTATCAGGGATGATCCATCAATATCATTATGAATGATAAAAATGAGCTGAAGCAAATAAATCTCTAGAAATCTAATTTTGGAACTGACATCACATCATTTCTTTAAAAAAATTTTTTTTATTGGAGTTCAATTTGCCAAGATATAGCATAACACCCAGTGCTCATCCCGCCAAGTGCCCCCCTCAGTGCCCATCACCCAGTCACCCCAACCCCCTACCCACCTCCCCTTCCATTACCCCTTGTTCATTTCCCAGAGTTAGGTATCTCTCATGTTTTGTCACCCTCACTGATATTTTCTTTTTTATATAAATTTACTTTTTATTGGTGTTCAATTTGCCAACATATAGAATAACACCCAGTGCTCAGCCCGTCAAGTGGCCACTTCAGTGCTGGTCACCCAGTCACCCCCACCCCTCGCCCACCACCCCTTCCCCCACCCCTAGTTCGTTTTCCAGAGTTAGGAGTCTTTCATGTTCTGTCTACCTTTCTGATATTTCCCACTCATTTTCTCTCCTTTCCCCTTTATTCCCTTTCACTATTTTTTATATTCACCAAATGAATGAGACCATATAATGTTTGTCCTTTTCTGATTGACTTACTTCACTCAGCATAATATAATACCTTCCAGGTCCATCCACATTGAAGCAAATGGTGGGTATTTGTCGTTTCTAATGGCTGAGTAATATTCCATTGTATACATAGACCACATCTTCTTTATCCATTCCACTTTTGATGGACACCGAGGCTTCTTCCACAGTTTGGCTATTGTGGACATTGCTGCTATAAACATCGGGGTGCAGGTGTCCTGGCGTTTCACTGCATCTGTATCTTTGGGGTAAATCCCCAGTAGTGCAATTGCTGGATCATAGGGCAGATCTATTTTTAACTCTTTGAGGAACCTCCACACAGTTTTCCAGAGTGGCTGCACCAGGTCACATTCCCACCAACAGTGCAAGAGGGTTCCCCTTTCTCCACATCCTCTCCAACATTTGTTGTTTCCTGTCTTGTTACTTGTCCCCATTCTCACTGGTGTGAGATGGGATCTCATTGTGGTTTTGATTTGTATTTCCCTGATGGCCAGTGATGTGGAGCATTTTCCCATGTGCCTGTTGGCCATGTGTATGTCTTCCTCTGTGAGATTTCTCTTCATGTCTTTTGCCCATTTCATGATTGGATTGTTTGTTTCTTTGCTGTTGAGTTTAAGAAGTTCTTTATAGATCTTGGATACTAGTCCTTTATCTGATAGGTCATTTGCAAATTTCTTCTCCCATTCTGTAGGTTGTCTTTTAGGTTTGTGGACTTTCTTTTGCTGTGCAGAAGCTTTTTATCTTGATGAAGTCCCAATAATTCATTTTTGCTTTTGTTTCTCTTGACTTCGTGGATGTATCTTGCAAGAAGTTACTGTGGCCAAGTTCAAAAAGGGTGTTGCCTGTGTTCTCCTCTAGGATTTTGATGGAATCTTGTCTCACATTTAGATCTTTCATCCATTTTGAGTTTATCTTTGTGTATGGTGCAAGAGAGTGGTCCAGTTTCATTCTTCTGCATGTGGATGTCCAATTTTCCCAGCACCATTTATTGAAGAGACTGTCTTTCTTCCAGTGGATCGTCTTTCCTCCTTTATCGAATATTAGTTGACCATAAAGTTCAGGGTCCACTTCTGGGTTCTCTATTCTGTTCCATTGATCTATGTGTCTGTTTTTGTGCCAGTACCACACTGTCTTGATGACCACAGCTTTGTAGTACAACCTGAAATCTGGCATTGTGATGCCCCCAGCTATGGTTTTCTTTTTTAAAATTCCCCTGGCTATTCGGGGTCTTTTTTGATTCCACACAAATCTTAAGATGATTTGTTCCAACTCTCTGAAGAAAGTCCATGGTATTTTGATAGGGATTGCATTAAATGTGTAAATTGCCCTGGGTAACATTGACATTTTCACAATATTAATTCTTCCAATCCATGAGCATGGAGTATTTTTCCATCTCTTTGTGTCTTCCTCATTTCTTTCTGAAGCGTTCCGTAGTTTTTAGGGTACAGATCCTTTACCCCTTTGGTTAGGTTTATTCCCAGGTATCTTATGCTTTTGGGTGCAATTGTAAATGGAATTGACTCCTTAATTTCTCTTTCTTCAGTCTCTATTGTTAGTGTATAGAAATGCCACTGATTTCTGGGCATTGATTTTGTATCCTGCCACACTGCTGAATTGCTGTATGAGTTCTAGCAACTTTGGGGTGGAGTCTTTTGGGTTTTCTATGTAGAGTATCATGCCATCTGCGAAGAGGGAGAGTTTGACTTCTTTGCCAATTTGGATGCCTTTTATTTCTTTTTGTTGCCTGATTGCTGAGGCTAGGACTTCTAGTACTATGTTGAATAGCAGTGACACCACATCATTTCTGCTGCATTCTATTGTTCAGTGAAAGTCATAGGCCAGCTAGATTCAAGGTGTGGGGAAACACCTTTTTGACTTGGGTTTTCATTTCCACTGATCAGATGTGGATGAATGTGCTGATCCCAGAACTTGCCCAGAGCATGCCACTTGCCACAACAGTCCTGGAAGCTACTCTTGTGTCTGCAATGTAGGATTTGAATCTAGTGGTGGAAAGAAGAGACTCCTGGGTTCCAGAGAGATATGTGGAGGTAGGTGGAAGGAGTCTGTTGGCAAACGAGGTCCAAGTCTTTTTGCCAAGACAGCTCTGGTATGGGAGGGATTAGGATGAGTCTTAGCCAAGCCTACAGCCCTCACCTGCCAAGCCAATGTCAATAATCCCTCATTCTTTCTTTCATTCATTCACTCACTCATTCAACAAATACTTCCTGAGTACCTAGTATACACCAGGCATGATTCTAGAGATGGTGGATGTAGCAGTAAATAACAGAGTAAAAACTATTTGTTCTCCTGGAACTCATCACCTAGTGTTGGGTAGATATATGGCAACATAAATACATGAACATATCATGTGCCAAGAATACTTGAAGGAAATAAAGATAAATAAGGCAGGAGCTGGATAGGGAGAGCTTGAGGTGAGGGTCTATTTTTAATAGAGTGGTAAGGAAAGGCCATGCTGGGAAGCTGGTATTTGAGAAAAGATATAAAGGGCATGGGGGAGTGAGACATTTGATTTCTGGTGATCGGTGTTCCAGGAGGAGAAAACAGCAGGTACAGAGGCCTGGAGGCTGGATCCCAGAAAGCGTTAAGCTTTTCCATTCTTGTACCCATTGTCTTCCCAACAACCTGATGGTGTCAGTGTATTTTATACCCATTTTACAGATGAGGAAATTGAGCCTCCATTGGGGTGGAGCAACTCTCCCACAGTCAAATAGACAGGAAATAGGGGAATCATGATCTATACTGTGCTGAGTGTGACTTCACACCCTGTGCTCTAACCATCATGCAATTTCAGCCTCCAAATGAGGCTGCAATGTCCAGCAACCCAGCATGGGGGCTTGCATAGGGCCAGCATGGACTTAATCTCCAAATTCCCAGATTCTGACTCAAGACAGTCTGGGGAGATGTCTCATTCCTGAGCCTCTTCCCAGGCCTAAGAAGCCTGAAAACTTCCCTTTTCTTCTTTTAAGGGCACTAATCCTATTATCAGATCTCATCTTAATCCAATCATCTTACAAGGGCCCATGTCCAAACACCATCCCACTGAGTGTTAGGGCTTTACCATATGAATTTGGGGAGACCTAACTGAGTCCACGGCCCCCTGGAACACACGACGAACAGGCACAGAGCCAGGCTTTGAGCCCAACCTGTCCATGCTCTCTATGCCTCCAGTTAGACGCCTCTCAATTATTATTACTGATGATGTAGTGATTCCTTGGAAAGGAATTGAGATGTATTAAGGACAGAGTGGGGCAAGTGGGTTCAGACCTGAGGGATCAAAGAAGGAGACTTCATGAACCTACCAGTAGTCAGTGATCTGGATCAGAAATGACTAAGGGATTAGAAGAGAAAGATGAGCTAGGTGAGCTTAGGTGGGACCAGACTCTTGGGGTCTCCTGTGTTCTAATGAAGAGCTTGGTTTTTTTCCAGAGCTGTAGAGAGCCTCATCTGGAGATTTGTGTGGGTCACAGACATGCCTCTTTGCACTTCCTTTCAGTAGTGTTTAAGAGGATGTGAGCAGGTCCCAGGAGACTCACTGGCTTGAGGCAAGGTGGGGCTATGCGCTGCCATGGCCTCAGCATCCTTCATCCTTTTGACTTAGATCACTTTTCTGCTTAGATGTGGATGAATGTGCCAGGAACTCAACTATTTGTGGCCTCAACTCTGTCTGTACCAACATCCTGGGAGGATATAATTGTTCCTGCCTGCCTGGGTACTTTTCGCCTGCTGTTTGGACTCCTGAGAAACCAGAAGATTTCATATGTACAGGTAATGCTCTCAGCCATGCTGAGAATTTTCAATGGCTGTCAAACTACCTTGAAATGTAGTGGCTTCCCACTGCTTTGTGCTTGCTCACGATTCTGTTGGCTGACCACTTGGGTTTTCTGGGGGCCCTGGGATGGTTGCCCGGTCCAAAATGGCCTTGTGTACATGACTGGTAGTTGGTGCCGGTCTCTGGCTGGGAGATCAGCTGGGCCCCTCAGTTTCCCTCATGGGCCCGTCCTCATGGTTTCTTGGGCTTCCTCAGATCATGGAAGCTGGTTTTCAGGAAGGGAATGTACAAGGGGAAGAAAGCAGAAACTCTGGGTTCTTATAAGACTTGTGCTTACAAGTCACAGAACATACCTCTGCCTCATTCTCCTGGTCACAATCATGGGGCTAGCGTAGATGCCAAGGAAGGGGGAATTAACTCACTATCTGACTGGGGAAGCAAGAAGGGCACACAGGAAGTGGAGGAATTGATGGTGGCCATCTTTGGAGGATCTACTCTACTGCAGAACATGTCTTATGTTCTTTGACCCCCAGGGGAAATGCATGCTTCTTTTCATTAAAAAATGTTCTATTTCTTTTCTCTCATTATTTTCACCAGCTGCTGACATTGTTAGAGGCAGGACAATAGAGAGGCACATTTGAAAGGGACCTTATATAAATTAATAGAGCACTCTGGGCTCATAGACATTTTTTCAGGACCCCATTCCAGTCCAATTATCACTGCTTTTATTTGTTTTACCTACTCAACAAGTTTCACTTTGCATGAAGGGAGGTTTTCTCAGTCAATACAGTTTGGAAAACCATGCACCTAGTCCAGCTCCATATGCAAAATATAAACTCCATTTGTGCTATTTCCTTTTTTTCTAGTGTGAAAAAGAATATTTTTTTAAAAAGAATATTTTATTTATTTGAGAGAGACAGAGAAAGAGAGAGAGGACATGAGCTTGGGGGAGGGGCAGAGGGAGAGAGGAAGAAGCAGGCGCTTTATTCCAAACCCTGGGATCATGACCTGAGCTGAAGGCAGGTGCTTAACTGACTGAGCCACCCAGGCACCTCCCATTTGTGCTATTTCTGATGAGAGTTCACCTCCTGGATGTTTAAATGAGTCTGTAAGTGGAGAGCTCACTATTAAAGGACAGGCACTCTTTGGTTAGAGATGTTTTCTGTTATACCAGGAGGAAAACCACTTCCCTGTACCTTAACTGTGGATCATTCTTCTGTCCTTTGAGATCTCCAAATTAGTCTATACTCATATCATAAGGATTTCTTCCAACCCTCCATGGTAAAGCCCAGTGCATTTGCACAGGCCGTTAGTCGATTTTGCCGGTTTTATCCTCCTGTTTTGTGAACTGATATAGGAATATGAAAATTTTTGCTCTTACTTCCCTCCTGATTTTTTTCCCCAGGACATTCTATTACATATATCCTCTATGGCTCAGAACTCTCCAGAGGGAGAGGTAACTCCTTATTGTCACTGTGACCTGGCATCAACTTGCATTAATACACTGGGTTTCCTCAACTTTGCTGCTATTGACATTTTGAGCTAGACAATTCCTTTTTTTAAAAAATATTTTATTTATTTATTCATGATAGACAGAGAGAGAGAGAGAGGCAGAGACACAAGCAGAAGGAGAAGCAAGCTCCACGCCAGAAGCCTGATGCGGGACTCGATTCTGGGATTCCAGGATCGTGCCCTGGGCCAAGGCAGGCGCCAAACACTGAGCCACCCAGGGATCCCCGATAATTCCTTTTTTATATTCAAATTCAATTAGCCAACATATAGTACATCTTAGTTTCAGATGTAGTGTTACATATGTCACTTGTTGTGTATAATAACACCTAGTGCTCATCACATGAGGTGCCCTCCTTAATGCCTATCACCCTATTACCCCATCCCACCACCCACCTCCCATCCAGCAACCCTCCGGTTGTTTCCCAGAGTTAAGAGTCTCCCATGGCTTTTCTCCCTCTCTGATGACTTCTCGCTCAGTTTTCCCTCCCTTCTCCAGTGATCCTCTGCGCTAGATAGCTCTGTGTGGTGGAGGGCTGTCCTGGGCGCTATAGGATATTTGGCAATATATGTGGCTTCTACCCACTAGATCACAATAGTACACCCTCTAACCCTGGCCCAGTCAAACAACCAAAGATGTCTCCAGATATTGTCCTTGTCCCTGGCAGGGGTACAGGGGGCAAGCCTCCCTCAGTTGAGAATCATTAGCTTAACATAAAAGAATTTCTGACTCTCATTACCATCCAATATAGACATACCTGGCCAGTGGGCAGCTTTTCTCCACATGGTGATAAGGGATCCATTTTCCTCACATCTGTTGGTTTCTATATCACTTATGACATTGGAATCACTGTTTCAGCCAGTGGTGAGAAAAGAGAGAGAAGGGACACCCACTTTGTACCACCTTGGCCCAGAAGTGACAAATGTCATACTTGCTCCCCTTCTCTAAGTGAAAACCAGTCATGTGGCCCCATGTAGTTGCAGAGATTTCTGGGAAATGTCCTTGCTTGGGACACCATGTCTTAAGGACAACTCCATGCCTTGGAAATGTGACTTTTGTAGGATTGACTTTTGACTTTTGTAGGATTGCTAGCCACCTGCCTCATGCCCATTCTCTACCCTACAGATATTGATGAGTGCCTTCACTTGTGCCCTTCCTTTTTAAAAAGATTTTATTTATTCGTTCATGATAGACACAGAGACATGGAGAGAGAGGCAGGCAAAGGAGAAGCAGGCTCCCTAGGGGAACCCTGAGTGGGACTTGATCCCAGGACCCCAAGTTCATGACCTGAGCCAAAAGCAGATGCTCAACTGCTGAGCCATCCAGGTGTTCCCACATGTGCCCTTTCCAATGCAACTTGCACCAACAGCTCTGGGAGCTACTTTTGTACCTGCTCTCTTGGCTTTATACCAAGCAATGGACAGCTAAGCTCACAGACCAAGAAGTCAAATGTAGAGGTGAAATGAGGGTTTGCTGAACATCCTCGGAAAGACATATCTCTTGGTTCTTCTGGGTTGTTTGATTTTTTCAAGTTCTTTGCAGATATTGATGAATGCTCCCAAGATCCATCACCATGTGGCCCCAATTCTGTCTGCACCAATACCCTGGGCTCCTACAGCTGTAGATGCAATAAGGGCTTTCGTCCCAATCCAGGAGGCTCCTCAAACTTCACCTGCCAAAGTAAGCATCTCCTAGTGTCCCTTCACAATGGAATCAATCTGGGTTTGGTGTGGTGGGGAAAATGATCATTAAAAAGCTAATGATACAAAAAAGCAACTATATTTAAGATAACTGTCATAAAGAAGGAGCGCATGTAGATTTTGAGGTGTCAGGGGAGGCTTTTTTTGGGGGAAAGATACTAAGGCAAGACCTGAGGAGTGAATAGGAGCTGGCCAGATGAGCAGAGGCAAAGGGAAGAGCACGAGCAAAGGCCCTGCAGTGGGAAGTCCTGGACATTGAGAGTAAGAGGAAACGAGGCTTAAAGATATGGTTGGGTCTGGTGCCTGGGGCTTTGTGGGTCCTGTTAAGTGATTTGGATTTGAATTCTGAGTGCAACAGGCAGCACTGTAGGCAGCGGTAGGGGTAGATGATCAAATATGTGTTCAGAGATGGCTACTATGTGGAGAAGAGATTGCAGTGGACAATGGAGGATTTAGGGATGCAGAATCCAGAGGAGGAGCTGTACCAAGCATAGCCGTGGTGATAGAGAAAATCAGGTAGATGCCAAATGCTCCTTGGACAGAGAACAGCAGGGCCTGTGGACCCACTGGATGTGACGGTGAGGAGCTAAACAGGCAAACTGAGGTCCAGGGAGGTGCAATCACTTGTCCCAGAGCTGGACTGGCTAGGATGTTGTTTTGACTGTTTCCACAGAAACCAAACAACAACTTAGAAATTTAGCTCTTAGAAGGACATTTTTTTTTTTCCTGTGCTCATTTCTCTGTATTTGCAGCTTTTTTTATAAATTTATTTTATATGGGTGTTCAATTTGCCAACATATAGAATAACACCCAGTGCTCAGCCCGTCAAGTGCCCCCCTCAGTGCCTGTAACCCAGTCTCCACCCCCCCTCCCCTTCCACCACCCCTAGTTCGTTTCCCAGAGTTAGGAGTCTTCATGTTCTGTGTCCCTTTCTGATATTTCCTACCCATTTCTTCTCCTTTCCCCTTTATTCCCTTTCACTATTATTTATGTTCCCCAAATGAATGAGACCATATAATGTTTGTCCTTCTCCGATTGACTTATTTCACTCAGCATAATACCCTCCAGGTCCATCCACATTGAAGCAAATGGTGGGTATTTGTCGTTTCTAATGGCTGAGGAATATTCCATTGTATACATAAACCACATCTTCTTTATCCATTCATCTTTCGATGGACACTGAGGCTCTTCCACAGTTTGGCTATTGTGGACATTGCTGCTAGAAACATCGGGGTGCAGGTGTCCAGGCGTTTCATTGCATCTGCATCTTTGGGGTAAATCCCCAGCAGTGCAATTGCTGGATCGTAGGGCAGGTCTATTTTTAACTCTTTGAGGAACCGCCACTCAGTTTTCCAGAGTGGCTGCACCAGGTCACATTCCCACCAACAGTGTAAGAGGGTTCCCTTTTCTCCACATCCTCTCCAACATTTGTGGTTTCCTGCCTTGTTAATTTTCCCCATTCTCACTGGTGTGAGGTGGGATCTCATTGTGGTTTTGATTTGTGTTTCCCTGATGGCCAGTGATGCAGAGCACTTTCTCATGTGCATGTTGGCCATGTCTATGTCTTCCTCTGTGAGATTTCTCTTCATGTCTTTTGCCCATTTCATGATTGGATTGTTTGTTTCTTTGCTGTTGAGTTTAAGAAGTTCTTTATAGATCTTGGAAACTAGCCCTTTATCTGATACGTCATTTGCAAATATCTCCCATTCTGGAGCTTGTCTTTTAGTTTTGTTGACTGTATCCTTTGCTGTGCAAAATCTTCGTATCTTGATGAAGTCCCAATAGTTCATTTTTGCTTTTGTTTCTTTTGCCTTCGTGGATGTATCTTGCAAGAAGTTACTGTGGCCGAGTTCAAAAAGGGTGTTGCCTGTGTTCTCCTCTAGGATTTTGATGGAATCTTGTCTCACATTTAGATCTTTCATCCATTTTGAGTTTATCTTTGTGTATGGTGTAAGAGAGTGGTCTAGTTTCATTCTTCTGTATGTGGATGTCCAATTTTCCCAGCACCATTTATTGAAGAGACTGTCTTTCTTCCAGTGGATCGTCTTTCCTCCTTTATCGAATATTAGTTGACCATAAAGTTCAGGGTCCACTTCTGGGTTCTCTATTCTGTTCCATTGATCTATGTGTCTGTTTTTGTGCCAGTACCACACTGTCTTGATGACCACAGCTTTGTAGTACAACCTGAAATCTGGCATTGTGATGCCCCCAGCTATGGTTTTCTTTTTTAAAATTCCCCTGGCTATTCGGGGTCTTTTTTGATTCCACACAAATCTTAAGATGATTTGTTCCAACTCTCTGAAGAAAGTCCATGGTATTTTGATAGGGATTGCATTAAATGTGTAAATTGCCCTGGGTAACATTGACATTTTCACAATATTAATTCTTCCAATCCATGAGCATGGAGTATTTTTCCATCTCTTTGTGTCTTCCTCAATTTCTTTCAGAAGTGTTCTATAGTTTTTAGGGTATAGATCCTTTGCCTCTTTGGTTAGGTTTATTCCTAGGTATCTTATGCTTTAGGGTGCAATTGTAAATGGGATTGACTCCTTAATTTCTCTTTCTTCAGTCTCATTGTTAGTGTATAAAAATGCCACTGACTTCTGGGCATTGATTCTTTTCATAAATCTGCAAACTGTAGATGGAACAGGGTGACAGGGCTGCCCAGATCATCCCAGCTCCCAGGTGCCTTCCACTTGTTGCCTCTCTATCCCTCAGTATGTGGTTTTCCAAGCCATTATTCTCATGGTGGAGGATAGATCAGCCTCCTCTGTTCATGTTTCAGCCAAGGGGGAAGAGGATGGGGAAGTAGAGAAGATATTTATTCTCTAAGAGCATGGCCAAACAGTGTGCATATCACTTCTGTGCATGCCCATTGGGCAGAACTTAGCCACCGGGCCACACCTAGCTTCAGGACACACAGAGAATGCAGTCTTTAACTGGAAGTCATGTTACTACAAGGAAGTAGGGGATGTGGTCTGGGGAAGGACTGCTGTTCTCTGCTTGATGGTTTACTGCTGGAGGTTTTTGTTTTGTTTTTGTTTTGAACCTGGGTCTTCTGTGCTTCAAAGGCTGAAATTTTGAGTCTCAGACTCTTCTATCTAGAGGTCTCATGCCCATGGCGTGGTCCATGGACCAGCAGCATCAGATTCATTCAGGGACTTGTGAGAAACACAGAATCTCAGGCCTCTTTCTTGACCAGCAGCATCAGCATTTGCTTTTTCCAGACCTGGGACCGAGGGGAGGCAGATGCTGTTGGTCTGAGGACCCCCTTTGGAGTAGCAGGTGTCCACGTCACTGCATTTCACACTTTCCTGTGTACACAGATCACCCAGGGTCTTGTAAAAATGCAGATTCTGATTCATCAGTTCTGGGGAGGGGCCTGACAGGTTGCGTTTCCACCAACTCCCAGGCAGTGCTGGTGCTCCTGGCCCATGAAATACTCTTGGAGCAGCAGAGGTGTAGAGTCTCCAAGGTCCCTGACAGCATTGAGCAGTATCTCAGAGCTGCTATAACCAATTGCCACCAAACAGAGGGCTTAAAAGAAGGGGAAGTCTATTCCCTCGCCGTTCTGGGCCCATAAATCTGAAATTAAGGCGTCTGCAGGGCCATGCTTTCTCTGAAGCCTCTTGGGAGAGTTTGTCCTGGTGTGGCCAGAAATCCTTGGTGTTCCTTGGTTTTAGCCACATGACTCCAGTCTCTGCCTCTGTCACCAGGTGCTGTTGTCCTTGAGCTGTCCATGTGCCTCTTTTCCCTTTCTTAAAAATCATCATCATATCAGATTAAGGGATATCCTACATCTCTTATCCCACTAAGGGGCCTCCTACACATCCTCATGGAGGTCTTAATTATATCTACAAAGACTCTATTTCCAAATAAGGTTACATTCCCAGGGACCAAGGCTTAGGTCTTCCAGAGATAGTTCAGCCTAAGACAGTCCCCTTTACTCTCTCATGCTCCTCTGGAAACCCACCCTGGGGCTCTAACCTGACTTCTTCCTTCTGTGCTGCCCAGATGTGAATGAGTGTGCAGATACCACCACGTGCCCAGCTTATGCAAAATGCACTGACACTTCGGATAGTTACTACTGCACTTGCAAACGAGGTTTTCTGTCCAGCAATGGAATGGAACACTTTAAAGACCCAGGAGTGACATGCACAGGTGAGTACATGCAACCTCGTAACCCTCCAGCATTTTGTAGGAAAATCGGGTGGAAGCTGGTGGGGTAGTGGATGTACGTACTCTTTCTTTTCCCCCAAACATTATTTACTCCCTCTCTCCTTCCCTGACCATTTTTTCCTTTCTTTTTCTTTTTTTTAAATTTTTATTTATTTATGATAGTCACAGAGAGAGAGAGAGAGAGGCAGAGACGCAGGCAGAAGGAGAAGCAGGCTCCATGCACCGGGAGCATTCGATCCTGGGTCTCCAGGATCGTGCCCTGGGCCAAAGGCAGGCGCCAAACCGCTGCGCCACCCAGGGATCCCCCTTTCTTTTTCTATAATGACAACAATTCCTGCTCTAAAACTTCTAATGATTCGGAGCTGGCGTTAGCATGGAAATAAAAGTAAAAACCATGCTATTTGTTTATATGCAGAAATAGCAGCTGCTTTCATTTTGGGAGAACTCCTTTTCATTGCCTCTCCATGCAGAAAACAAAAATTTCTAGCATTCACTGAGTACCTGGTCCCTTGTGGAGGGCTCTCTGTGCATTTTTTTTTAAAAGATTTAATTTATTTATTCATGACACACACACACACACACACAGAGATAGAGAGAGAGAGAGAGAGAGGCATAGACATAGACAGAGGGAGAAGCAGGCTCCATGCAGGGAGCCCGATGTTGGACTAGATCCAGGTAATCCAGGTTCTCCCCCTGGGCCAAAGCAAGGCTCTCAATCGCAGAGCCACCCAGGTGTCTCTCTCTGTGTTTTTTACATGAAACTGAGAGCAGGCGTCATGATAATCTCTGGTGTACAGATGAGGAAACTGCTTGGAGCCCCAAAATGATGCATTCATGGTCATGTGGTTGAACTGGCCTCCAAACCCACATCTTGCAGAATCTAACACCAATCTCTGAATCATGTCATCTAGTTGTAAGCTGTTGGGGGAAGGTATTTACCCACTCTAAGCCTCAATGTTCCCATCTGTAGAGTGACTATAGAATAATAACTACATCAAAGGATTTTGGGAAAATTAAATGCAGTCACGTATGCTATGTGCATATACAGGAAGTATCACTAGCATAACTCATGTGAATTGAGATAGTCCCTAGAAAGATTGAAGTTCTTTGTCTGCATTTCTTCCTTTTAGATCTTGATTCTCCCCTCAACAGTCAATATCTGACTGTCACCTCTGAATAAGACCAGCGGTCAGCCAGGTTTTTTATGCCAGGGACCAAATAGTAAATATTGTGGAGGTTGCAAGCCATAGGATCTGTCTCAGAAACTTTAATACCCCAGTTGTAGTGGGAAAGCAGCCATAGATGATATGGCTTTGTCCCAATAAATGAATGATGTGGCTTTGTCCCAATAAAACTATTTATACAAACAGGCAGTGGACTGGATTTGCCTCACAAGCTAGTTTGCTGGTCTCTGAAGAAGATAATTGGTTTCTATTGTTGTAGTTCCCTTGGAGCCCCAAACCCTCTTTATTTTGGTGTTACAATTTATGGGTTATTCAGTAAGCTTCAGTAGTCCTGATGGGCCTTTGTTTCAAACTTTGGATTCAAATCAACATTCCACCTCTGGCAAAGTATGGATCCCACAGCAAGGATTTCATGTACTTTATCCTGTGTGGTGCCTGATATCTAGTGAGTAGTCAGGTGATATCTGTGGAACGAAGGAACACATTCCTTATTCTTTATGTCAACCCCAGATTTAATCAGCCTTTATCGCTGGTTCCTAATGTTTTACTACTTCACAGAAAGGTGGAACGAACATTCCTGAGGTTTGATCCTGATGTACAGTGGCAGCTCCAGATTGCTGTGTAGGAGAGGCCCAGTTTTCTGGGAGAGGCTATAAGAAACTCACCTTGAAGCTGTATTTGCATGCCATGGATGTTGCAAGGGTTTAGGATGACTTGGCAGAGCAGGGCTGAAGGAGACTTGGGGCTGGACCACCCCACCGTACCACGACTGCACAATTTTATGGGCCCTCCACTGAGTAAATTGCTCTATGGGCTTTTTAAGTTCTTTTTAAGCTACTTCTTCTTTATCTACTGCTGAGTAGCAGAACTCCTGCCAGCTTAGTACATCCAAACAAGGACAATCATTTATTTTGCTCATGGATATATCTGTCATTTTGTTTGAGTTTGGTGACGTGGCTTGTCTCTGTTCCATGCAGTGTCAGCTGAGTTGGCTCAAGTGGGGGCTGGAGGATCCACCTGAAAGAGAGCACACTCACATGGCTGCTCAGCTGGTGCTGGCCTTGGGCTGTCTGCCCCACCAGGGCTGAGGGCTGAAGCTCTGGTTCTTCTTCTCATAAGTTGTTTCTCCATGGCTGGTTGGGCTTCCTCACAGTATGGTGGCCAAGTTCCGAGAGAACAAGGAGGAAGTGCATGGTATCTTTATGACTTAGTGTCACCAGCCTCATAGTCCCATCATGCTCAGATACAAGGGGAGTGAATACAGACTCCACTGCTTGCTGGATGGACTACAAATACACATAGAATGAAGGGCATACAGCATGGCAGACATCATTTCTGCCATCTTGAAAAACAATGTGCTACACAAGATAAGGCAATTTTGTAACTCCACCTCTTTCTGGATCCAGATATAGATGAGTGTTCTCAAAGCCCCCCACCATGTGGTCCCAACTCAGTCTGTGAAAACCTTCTGGGGAGGTACAAGTGCAGCTGTTGGCCTGGTTTCTCTTCTCCCACTGGAAATAAATGGATCTCGGAAATCCAGGTCGTTTCATCTGCACAGGTAATGCTCTCAGGCATGGGTCTCTGGGGGACAGTGACCTCTCTTGAGCTGGGTACATATGCCTCTCACCCTAGACACACCATCTTGGGTCTGCTCACTCTCCTCCACTGCTCCTCAGACATCAATGAATGCCTCTCCCGTGGGGTCTGCCAAGAGCATGCTGAGTGTATCAACACCTTGGGAAGCTACAAGTGCAGATGCCAGGTTGGATTCTTCGCTCACAACTCCATCTGTGAAGGTATGGAGGTCCTGCTTTTCTTTATTTACCTACTTAATCCATTAAGAACCACCTCACTTGATGATCATGTGTGGTAGGGATTATGATCTTCTGTTTGGGGATGAGGAAATCAAGGCTCAGAGTATTGAAGTGACTTCCCCAAGGACACACAGCTGTTCACTAGAAGAGCCAGGATTTGAAGTCTTGCTGAGGCCTACCTTGAGACAAGCTGTGGGTCTGGCAGTACTTGTGAGTAATATAGGGATCTGTCCCTGCAGTGATACCCTTTCAGGTGATTCTGCCAATGCTTGGAGGCATTTTTTGAGTGCCACAACTGGTATTGTTCAAAGGCATTGTGGGTGCTACTGTGATCTAGTGAGGAGAGGCCAGAGATTCTGCTAAATACTCTGCAATGCATGGAACAGCTTTTCTACACCCAAAAATAATCTGGTCCCAGATGCCAGTAGTTCTGAGGTAGAGAATCTCTGTCCTAGGAGGTGTTGAGACTCAAATTTCAGATTTTTTTCCTAAGAAGTATTGGACTCAAGACCTGATAGTTACCTTCGACTCCCCAAACCCGCACACCCCTCCATATTAGCAGTCATCATATCTTAGGGAGTTTACCTGCTAAATATGTCTTAACTCCCTCCATCTTCCCCATCCTGGTTTGGGGTCAACTATTATTTTAGCAACCTCCTCACTGGGCTTTTCCTTCCTCTAGTCTTGTTTCCTTGAATCCATCCTCCAAACTGCAGCCAGAATATTCACACAAGATACAAGGGCTCCATCTTCCTAAGTTGGTGCAGTCTAGCGTTATCCATGCTCACTGGTAGAGAGGGTGACTCCGTCAAGCAAGGCACGGAGTGACCAAGCCCTTATCACATACCCTTGGCTTGGAGTGAGAAATACTGGAAATCCTTTCTAATTTTTCTGATCCATTCATAGTGGTTAGATACTGCTGAGTAACAACTGAAGGTCTGTGGCTAGAAAAATACCATCTGTTTAGCTTTCTATTCTGTGCATTGGAAGTTTGGGTTGGGCTCTGATGGTCAGTTCTTTGGGTCTCTCATAGGCTTGTTCATATGTCTGTGGGCAGCTTTGGGTCAGCTTGGTTCAACTCATCTGGGCTGCCTCCCATGTCACTAGGGTTTTCTGGGATAATCCCTCTCTTGTCAACTTTTTCTCTCATTCTTCCTTAGGCTAGTATTGTGCTTGTTCATATGGAAGAAGCAAGGTGCCCAAAGTATGAGCAGAAGCAAATATGCCTCTAAAAGTCTAAGTTTCGAACTGACACCACATAATTTTTTGCTGCATTCTATTGGCCAGTACAAGTATAGGCCAGCTAGATTCAAGATGTGGGGAAGCAAGCTCCACATCTTAGAAGAGTAGTGGCAAAGTCACATCTCAGTGCACCATCTGCATCCCATGGTGTAGGTACAGGAAAGAGTCAAGGAGGATAGCCATTTCTATGGTCATTACGCTTTGGAGCTATTTGCCACCCTCTGCTTGTATATGTTGAGCCAGAATTTAGTCTCATGCCTGAGCACCTAGTATATGCCAGACACTAATCTAGGGATACAGCAGTGAATAACAGAGGAAAAGCTATTTGTTCTCCTGGAGCTCATCACTTAGTGTTGGGTAGATTGATGGTAACATAAATACATGAACATATTATGTGCCAAGAATACTTGAAGGAAATAAAGATAAATAAGGCAGGAAAGGTGGATATGGAGAGAGAGCTGGAGGTGAGTTTCTACTTTTTAATAGAGTGGTAAGGAAAGGCTATGCTGGGAAGCTGGTATTTGAGAAAAGATGTGAAGGGCATGGTGGAGTGAATATTGGATTTCTGGTGATTGGTGTTCCAGGAGGAGGAAACAGCAGGTACAGAGGCCTGGAGACTGGATCCCAGAAAGCGTTAAGCTTTTCCATTCTTGTATCCATTGTCCTCCCCAAAACCTGATGGTGTCAGTGTATTTTATACCTATTTTACAGATGAGGAAATTGAGTCTCTGTGGTGGAGGCTCTGTGGTGGAGCAACTCTCCCATGGTCAAATAGATAGGAAGTAGGGGAGTCATGATCTACACTGTGCTGAGTGTGACTTCACACTCTGTGCTCTAACCATCATGCAATTTCAGCCTCCAAATGAGGCTGCAATGTCCAGCAACCCAGCATGGGGGATTGCATAGGGCCAGCATGGACTTAATCCTCAAATTCCCAGATTCTGACTCAAGACAGTCTGGGGAGATGTCTCATTCCTGAGCCTCTTCCCAGGCCTAAGAAGCCTGAAAACTTCCCTTTTCTTCTTTTAAGGGCACTAATCCTATTATCAGATCTCATCTTAATCCAATCATCTTACAAGGGCCCATGTCCGAACACCATCCCACTGAGTGTTAGGGCTTTACCATATGAATTTGGGGAGACCTAACTGAGTCCACGGCCCCCTGGAACACACGACGAACAGGCACAGAGCCAGGCTTTGAGCCCAACCTGTCCATGCTCTCTATGCCTCCAGTTAGACGCCTCTCAATTATTATTACTGATGATGTAGTGATTCCTTGGAAAGGAATTGATATGTATTAAGGACAGAGTGGGGCAAGTGGGTTCAGGCCTGAGGGAGCATGAGAAGGAGACTTCATGAACCTACTGGTAGTCAATGAATCTGGATCAGGAATGACTAAGGGATTAGAAGAGAAAGATGAGCTAGGTGAGCTTAGGTGGGACCAGACTCTTGATATCTGCCGTGTTCTAATGAGGAGCTTGGATTTTATCCCAAGCTTCTAGAGAGCCTCATCCGGAGATTTGTGTGGGTCACAGACATGCCTTTTTGCACTTCCTTTCAGCAATGTTTAAGAGGATGTGAGCAGATCCCAGGAGACTCACTGGCTCCAGGCAGGGTGGGGCTATGCATTGCCAAGGCCTTGGCATGGTTCATCCTTTTGACTTAGACCACTTTTCTGCTTAGATGTGGACAAATGTGCCAGGAACTCAACTCTTTGTGGCCTCAACTCTGTCTTTACCTACATCCTAGGAGAATAGAATTGTTCCTGCCTGCTCGGCCTTTACCTCCCTCCTGATTTTTTCCCCCAGGACATTCTATTCCATATATCCTCTATGGCTCAGAACCCTCCAGAGGGAGAGGTAACTCCTTATTGTCTCAGTGACCTGGCATCAACTAGTATTAGTTGCCAGGTTTCCTCAACTTTGCCACTATTGACATTTTGAGCTAGATAATTCCTTTTTTGTATTCAAATTTGTAATTTGAATACAAATTAGCCAACATATAGTACTCTTTGTTTCAGATGTAGTGTTACATATGTCACTTGTGTATAATAACACCTAGTGTTCATCACATGAGGTGCCCTCCTTAATGCCTATCACCCAATTACCCCATCCCACCACCCACCTCCCATCCAGCAGCCCTCCGGTTGTTTCCCAGAGTTAAGAGTCTCCCATGGCTTTTCTCCCTCTCTGATGACTTCTCGCTCAGTTTTCCCTCCCTTCTCCAGTGATCCTCTGCGCTAGATAGCTCTGTGTGGTGGAGGGCTGTCCTGGGCGCTATAGGATATTTGGCAATATATGTGGCTTCTACCCACTAGATCACAATAGTACACCCTCTAACCCTGGCCCAGTCAAACAACCAAAGATGTCTCCAGATATTGTCCTTGTCCCCTGGCAGGGGTACAGGGGGCAAGCCTCCCTCAGTTGAGAATCATTAGCTTAACAAGAATTTAAATTAAAAAAGAATTTCTGACTCTCATTACCATCCAATATAGACATACCTGGCCAGTGGGCAGCTTTTCTCCACATGGTGATAAGGGATCCATTTTCCTCACATCTGTTGGTTCCTATATCACTTATGACTTTGGAATCGCTGGTTCAGCCAGTGGTGAGAAAAGAGACAGAAGGGACATCTACTTTGTACCACCTTGGTCCAGAAGTGACAAACGTCATACTCACTCCCCTTCTCTAAATGAAAACCAGTCACGTGGCCCCATGTAGATGCAGAGATTTCTGGGAAATGACCTTGCTTGGGACACCATGTCTTAAGGACAACTCCGTGCCTTGGAAATGTGACTTTTGTAGGATTGCTAGCCACCTGCCTCATGCCCATTCTCTACCCTGCAGATATTGATGAGTGCCTTCACTTGTGCCCTTCCTTTTTAAAAAGATTTTATTTATTCATTCATAATAGACACAGACACACACAGAGAGGCAAGCAGAGGGAGAAGCCGACTCCCTAGGGGAAGCCTGATGCGGGACTTGATCCCAGGACCCCTGGTTCACGACCTGAGCCAAAAGCAGATGCTCAACCGCTGAGCCACCCCAGGTGCCCTCACATGTGCCCTTTCCAATGCAACTTGCACCAACAGCCCTGGGAGCTACTTTTGTACCTGGTCTCTTGGCTTTACACCAAGAAATGGACAGTTGAGCTTCACAGACCAAGAAGTCAAATGTAGAGGTGAAAGGAGGGTTTGCTGAACATCCTCGGAAAGACATATCTCTTGGTTCTTCTGGGTTGTTTGATATTCTCAAGTTCTTTGCAGATATTGATGAATGCTCCCAAGATCCATCACCATGTGGCCCCAATTCTGTCTGCACCAATACCCTGGGCTCCTACAGCTGTAGCTGCATTGAGGGCTTTCGTCCTAATCCAGGAGGCTCCTTGAACTTCACCTGCAAAAGTAAGCATCTCCTTGTGTCCCTTAATAGTGGAATCTGTGTCTTGGTTTGGTTGTGAAATCCTCAATCTTTGCAAACTCTGAATCTTCCTCTTACCCTTACCTCATCCACAATTTTTTCTTTTCTAATGCATTTATTCCCTCATTAATTATATCAATGAATAAATTATTCTTGGGGCTTCTACTAATTAATTAGTCGTCAGGCCCCAGCACTAGAAACTGAGGATTTAATCCTGGATATATTGGACATGAAATACACCTTCATGTAGTTTATAGTCTAGGGAAGGAGCAGAGAGCACACACATAATTATTTAGTGAGCACAATCAGTGTGACTCCACAAAAATTATACTGTGCTTCAATGTGAGTAATGAGATATTTTATATACTCTGGGCTAGTGATATTTAAGCTGAAGCTTGAAGGAAGAGTAGGAATTATCCAGACAAAGGGTGGAGATCTCAGTGTGCCAGGTTGTGGCATGTGCAAAGGCTCTGAGGCTAAGGCAGAAAGAGGGCTAGGGGAAATGGCATTAGGTGTATCTGAGAATGTGGGCAGAGGTCAGTTCCTGCAGGAACTGGTGAGCCATGTGAAGAGTTTTAGAGTTTTTTTTTTTTCTTGTTGAGAACAATGAAGGACTGTGAAAGGTTTAAGTTTTTAAATTTGTGGATGACTTGATACATTAAAAATAGGGGTAGTTTCTATGGAGGCAATGAAGTGTCATTATAAAATGGGTACATCTGAGGCCCTTACCAACATGAGAACTAGAACATTATCAATGCCATGTGTTTCCTGCATGTTCCTTCCCCATTATCAGATCTCCGTTTTGTCTTCCCCAGAGGGGACTACTTGAAACTTTTTGTTTATAATGCCCCTACTTAAAAAATGCCCCCCCCCATGAATGTTTCTCTAAACATTACTTTGCTTGGTTTTGTTTGCTTTGGAGCAATATAAAAATGGCATTGTGCTCTGTATCGTCTTTTCTGACTTGCTCTTTTCACTCGGTATCCTGCTTCTCAGAGTCCCTGATGTTTCAGTGTGTAGCTGTGGTTTGCTCATTTCCACTGTCATATAATATGGTAATGGGTGGATTTGAAGCAGGGGGTAATGAAATCAGACTTGTCTTTTAATCATAGCTTGCTGTGGTTGAGCTTTAATTTGGTTGTTTTTGGTTTCTTCCTAGGGATTCCCTTCAAGTGTAAAGAAGATGTGATACCAGACAATGAGTGGGTCCAGCTATGCCAAGTGGGAGCATCCGTAGAGCTTGAACACGTAAGTATTTTTGAAAGTTCCTAGCTTAAGTTTCCTAGAAGAACTTCTAGAAGTTCCTAGAAGCCACTCAGGTAGGATGTTGTTTTGCAGCTTTAACAAAGACCAAAATAATGGTGACCTAAATTGTATAGCAGTTTATTTCTCTCCTTGTAACAACCTGAGTGTCAACTGCGTAGAGTTGATATGATGGCTCCGTAAATGCTCTGCCATCATCAACAGAAGCCTCCCACTTTGTGGTCCAAGATGGCTGCTCCAGACCCTGCCATCACATCTGCATTTCGGCTGGTGGACAGGGGGGAGGGGGAGGTGAAAGGCATAGTTCTTTTCTTTAAAAGTATAACCCAGTGTCACTTCTGCTTATATCTGACGTCAAGGAAAGATGAGAAGGGAAGACATTTGTCTATCTTAAACTTGGGAGCTCTTTTACTGAAAGAAGAAAGGATGCTGGAGTCTCCTTACCAGTGAGAGTGCTGGTACTATGTCTGCATGGTGTGGGAGGGGTGATTCACAGTCCCAGAGCCAGGCAAAGAGGAATTTGGATGTCTTAATGCTCTAATGAAGTTGTTTTGGGGACTAAAGCCTCCAAGATTATGTTCAGGAATTGATGTCATGATTTTTGATATGAGTTTATAAATTAGCTTTGGAATTCCCATGCACTTTGGACCACTGCTGTTGTTTTGTGAATGAGTTGTGGTGAGGAAGATCTTCTCTCTGTATTCCTCAGTTTGTCTCTTCTGGATATTTCATATAAATGTAATCATGCAGTACATGATGTGTGTGTGTGTGTGTGTGTGGCTTCTCTTACTGAGCACAGTACTTTCAAGGTTCACCACGTTGTACCAAGTGTCCATGCTTTACTCCTTTTTGTGGCTGAATAATATTCCATTTGGACCACTAGGGTTGTTTTTTTTTCCCCACGAATTCCGCCATCTTTGACCCCTCTAAGTCATTTTGCTGTTTCTTTGCATTTGTTTCTTTTATTCATTGAAGATAGAGGTGGCTCCAATTCTGCTCAAATGGTGAGTTTCTATTTTCCTGAGAATTCTAGAGCCTCTTGGACACCTTAGGAGCCCATATGGTGGGCTGGACGGCCAATTTGTATACTTGACGTGCTGAGGGATTGATGGATCAGTGCTCACACATTCTCCTCCTCTGGGGCACAGGGTTCCTTCTGCACACTAATGAATGCCACCTTCAACATTCTGGACAATGCCTGTGAAAACAGAAGCACCGTGGTTTCTCTGAAGGTAACAGCAAAGTCTTTGTAATTGTGTTTCAAGCTTCGAATAACATGGGGGACACTTTGGGCACTGAAAGTCCTTTTTCTAATTAATGGGTTAACATTTAATTTGTTATATAGTTGTAAGGTTTTAAAATTTAACATACAGTTAAATTGCCCTTCTCTGTCCAGTTTGATGACTTTTATTACCTAAATAGATTCCTATGTAGCCACCACAATCAGAACATAGATGATAGGTGATTTTACCACCACAATCAGAACATAGAACAGTTTCTTTTCCTCCCTTGGGCTTCCCCTTTATTGTCAGATGCTCCCTCCACCACCAGCCCCCGTAAATCCCCAACTCTTCTCTGTCATTAGAATTTTGTCTTTTCAAGAATGTTATATAAATAGAATCACACAGGATGTGGCTTCTTTCACTCAGCATAATGCCTTTGTGATCAAGAGTTCCAATTCTTATTTTTTAAATAACTGTTAGTGACACTGTCTACATTCACAACATTGTGTAACTACCACCAGCATCCCCCCAAAAGGAAACTTATGCCCATGAAGCAGCTGTTCCTCATTCCTCGCTCCCCGAGCCCCTGGCAACCACTCATCTGCTTTCCAACTTTGTAGACATGCCTGTTCTGGATGTGTTATGAAAAGGAGTCCTACAAAATATAGTCTTTTGTGTCTGGCTTCTTACTCTGAGTGTAATATATATTTTTTAAATAATAAATTTATTTTTTATTGGTGTAATATTTTTAAGGTTCACCCACATTAAAGTACATGTGGGTGCTTTATTCCTTTCTATGGCTGAGTAGTATCCCACTTTATGGATGTACCACAGTTTATCCATTCATCTGGGAAAAACATCTGAGTTGTTTCCACTTAACCATCTCCCCTTTCTCCTGGCCCCATCTCAACTTTGGGCAATTATCAGTAGAGCTGCTATAAACATTCACATAGTGTTTGTGTGTCTGCATGTCTATCTGGGGTATGTGTCCCAAATTTTTCATTTCTCCATGATAAATATCTAAAGCTGGGATTATTTGTTGATTGCAATGGTAGATTTTAAACCTAGTTTTTTTTAAAGACTTAACAACTGTAGCTGTTGTTAATTTATTAATAAATTTGGTTGGTTTTATACCAAAATAAGAATAATACTTTCATTTGTAATTTGACTAAAATTAATTTATTGGTATAACACATTTATTCATCAAGTGTACATTCACAAATAGGGTTTTCAGATTAAATTTCCGTAAGTGATGAGCCATTTTTACAAATTTCGTTAGATTCCCTCATTTTAGACTATGTTTACAAATATTCTTATTTCCCTCCAAATTTCAAATACCTACTGAGAAAGATTTACAAACCTAAAAGGTGAAGTTGGTGTGCCTTCAAGGGAATATAAATCCAAATAATAAAATGTATAAATATAATAATTTAGATTTTTTAAATGTTCAAACCCATTTATCAACAGCTGTGTTCTCTTACACGGTTCATATTAAATACACATTTATCACACATCTAATTGCTTTGCAGTGAAATCACGTGGATAATCAGTTAGCTTCTCTAATGTGTCAAATTATTCTAAACCCTTTCAACCACCACTTTCCAGATTATGCCAAAGATCATAAAACCTTCAAAATTGAAAGTTAACACAATGAAGTCTTAATTTGCCTATCAATTCTTTACTTTCCCAAGGAAATAAAATAATGTTCCCAGGTGAAAATAGATTTCACATTTCAAAGGGAGTTTTAATGAGGTCTCCTTAGCCATAGAATTGAGGACCACATTTTTGCGGGATGATTCCACCTGAGATTTTTCTGTGTTGGTGGGGAGGGACCCCAAACTCATACCTTGCACTTGAGATATGGCTACAGAACTCAGTGCATCCTGTTTCTCCAGAATGAACGTCTCTCAAGTTGTACTCTCACCAGTTTTCACTGAAGTTCTTTTCATGATTTTTTAAAAAGGATTTATTATGCTGAGTGAAATAAGCCAATCAGAGAAGGACAATTATCATATGGTTTCACTCCTACATGGAATATAAAAAATAGTGAAAGGGATTATAAGGGAAAGGAGGGGAACTAAGTGGGAAAAATTAGAGAGGGAGACAAACCATGAGAGACTCCTAACTCTGGGAAACAAAGGGTTGCGGAAGGGGAGCTAAGTGGGAGAATGTGGTAGCTGGGTGAGGGGCACTGAGGAGGGCACTTGATGGGAGGAGCACTGGGTGTTATACTGTATGTTGGCAAATTGAATTTAAATTAAAAGAATTTGAATGTTAAGCAAGGAGTTCACTGAATATATATATATATATATATATATATATATATATATATATCCCCGTTCTTTTATTATCAGCTGCATACTATCCCACAATTTGATTCCATCATCATTTATTTAGCCAATCTGTTGGACATTTAGACTTTCTGACTTCTTGCTATCATAAGCCATGCTGAAATAAATATCACTGGACAAGGTCCTTACACAATTTTTAAGCATTTCTGGAAGGATTAATTCTAGGAGGGGAAATTACTGGGTCAGAGGTATATGCAAGCAATACTATTACAGGTGCTGATTTAAAGCTATACCGTTCTGTGTCCCTTTCTGATATTTCCCACACACTCCTAACTCTGGGAAACGAACTAGGGGTGGTGGAGGGGGAGGAGGGCGGGGGGTGGGGGTGAGTGGGTGACGGGCACTGAGGGGGACACTTGACGGGATGAGCACTGGGTGTTATTCTGTATGTTGGTAAATTGAACACCAATAAAAATTAATTTATTAAAAAAATAAAGCTATACCGTTTTGCATCCCAGGGGGATTTGGGGATCAGGGAAAGGAAGCTGAATAGATGCCCTTTTAATTCTTCATTGGCCTAGACTATGAACCCACTCTCTTGAGAGAGAGGGGGGGAGGAAGAAGAGAGAGAGAGAGAATGAGAAGGAGGGAGAGAGAGGGAGGGAGAGAGTAGGAGTGGGGAGAAAGAGAGGGAACAGCTGCTGTTTCAGGGGTAGGGGAAGAGGGTGCGAGGACATACTGTGCAAACACGTTTCCTTGCAGAGCATGGTTGAGAGCTTTGCCTCTGTGCTACAACAAACATCCACATCCAACTTCACCAAAGAAGAGACATCTGCTTTGGCCACTGTGGTCCTGGAGAGTGTGAAAAGCACCACCCTGGCAACTTTCCTGAAACCCTCCGCAAATGTCAGTCAGACTATTCAGACAGAACAATTAGGTAAGATGGCAAGGTTACACCTGGGTGCTGATGGGCGGAGGGGGGCTTGGGCGATGCAATTCTCCATGGCTTTCCCATATCCCATTTCCCCAACTGTTTCAAACCTCTGAACTCACAGAAAGGCCAGTTCAAGGATATTAACAACATCTTCCATTTACTGAGTGCTTCACATTGAGTTAAGAGTGTTGCCAGGTATGGTTTGGAGTGTGTCATTGATTCAACAACTATCCGAGTCCCGCAATAAACAAACATCTAGTGTACAAGATATAGATAGTGCTATTGAGAAAAATACAGCAGGCTAAGTCAGCCAGAGAGGGTCAGGCTTGGGGGGAGCATTGCTAGCTTTCATGGTGTAGCCAGAGGGTTAGGACCGTTGCTTTCCATCACTGTTTATCTCAACCCCATGTTTCCCTGATGCACCTGCTATGGGATGAGAGCTCTCTCCTATGGGTCCAACTGGGTTTCTTTTTTTTTTTTTAATTTATTTATTTATTTATTTATGATAGTCAGAGAGAGAGAGAGAGGCAGAGACACAGGCAGAGGGAGAAGCAGGCTCCATGCACCGGGAGCCTGACGTGGGATTCGATCCCGGGTCTCCAGGATCGCGCCCTGGGCCAAAGGCAGGCGCTAAACCGCTGCGCCACCCAGGGATCCCTCCAACTGGGTTTCTAATTAGTTTAGTGCTACCTTCCTCTTGTCACTCAACAAGGGGCTCAAGATCTTCCCCATGATGAACTGGCCTTTTTATTCTTTGCTTGCAACTGGGTACATATAAGGTTTTTGGACAGAAACTGAATTCAGGACTCACTTTCTGAGTGACCTCAGGCAAAGTCTCCCTATCTCCTTTTAGAAATGGAAAGCAAAATTATCAAGGAAGAATGCATTGAAGAGAATATGACCTTTCACTTTAAAGCCAAAGGGGATGAGATGAAGATTGGGTGTTCCACCATTGAAGAATCTAAATCCACAGGTATAGACTTGCTTCTGGGAATCAAGGAGAGTGGTAATGGTATAGTCAGCCAGCAAATGTTTATCACTCTACGCTAAGGTGCCAAGACTTATGAGGGGATCAGTGAGGTGAGGCCCAGGCCCTCAGGGAGTTTTCCATCTGCTGGGGAAGTCAGATATTAAATAAATATTCTCACAATAGTGGAGTATTAGGAACTTCACTTTCCAGCACAGCAGCCACTTGGCCACCTTTTGTTATTGAGCACTTGAAATGTGGCCGGGCTGTGAGTATAAAATACACACCGGATTCCAAAGGCTTAGTACAAAAAAATGAAGGGTGGAAAAATCTCATTCACATGAGATTTTATATTGATTGTATGTTGAAATGATGATATTTTGCATGTATTGAATTAAAATATAATTAAAATTAATTTTACCTGTTTTTGACTTTTCTGAAATGTGGCTACTAGCAAATTTAAAATGACCTATGTGGATCATGTTATATTGCTAGTGGACAGTGCTGTCTGTGTCAGGGACTGGCAAACTTTCCTGTAGGGGGCAGGTTGGTAAGTATTTTAGGCATTGAGGGCAATACAGTTCCTCACAGTGCAAAGGTGTTTATACGTGAACGGGTGTGCCTGTGTTGCAGTAACTTTTATTTATACAAAGAGGCGATGGCCAGATTGGCCTGGGGGCTGTTGTTAGTCACTCCCCAATCTATCTGCTATTGGGAGTGCTCAGGGAGGAAGCTTGGGATGTCCCTGAAGACCACCAATGTTGAAAGGGGAAGCCCACCAAAGAGATGCAACAAGAATAACCATAAATATGGGAGGAGAACTTATTTCCCATGGCTCATTTGATTGTCCCTTAAAAGCACAAATTCAAACTTATTTTTAAATGCAGCCAACATTTCTCAGGTGGTAGCACCTCAGGATTTTTTTTTAAATGGTTCTAGAGAGGGTCACCAACCTAGGAGTCTCCTGTTTCCATTGGTGTGGCAATCCTCAGAGCAGGCCAGTGGAGGTAGAGATGCATAGAATATTAAAGCATGTATGCATATGTACATGTTGGACCATCTATAATCACTACTGAGCAAATTATTCCTTTTCTCTCCCCTCCGTTTTTTTTTTTTTTTTTTTTGCCTTTAGGGGAAATCACAGGGACCACTGGGGTGGCTTTTGTCTCCTTTTTGGGTATGGAGTCTTTTTTAGATGAGAGCTTCTTCCAAGACCAACAGATGCCCTCAGCCATCTCTCAGAGGATGGTGAAGATTAATTCTCGAGTTGTACAAGGCATCATGACTGGTGAGAAGAAGGAAGGCTTCTCTGACCCAATCATTTACACACTGGAGAACATTAAGGTTTGTGAAGAGGTCCTTGCTGAGCCCCCATCTACCTGTTGAGAATGCTCCATCCTCCAGTGGGCTTAACTTTCACTTCTGGTAGGGACTCATGAAGGCAGCAAGCTCCCACAGTTTCTTGCAACTCAAGACGATCCCCAAAATCTACCTCAAAAGAAAGGGCTCTCCTATTCCTATGTGGCATTCTTTCATCCATCACCGGGCAAAACTGGGCTCAGATTAAGTGATGTTGGTGCAGGAACATTTACAAGGACTTTATTTACCTTGGCTATGACCAAGTCAGTGGTAGAGGCAGACCTGGTATCTGAAACCTTTCTCTCTATCCTTGTGCATGGAAATATTGCATTTCCCTCCCAAGCATACCTGTATCTTCATGCCTCAAATGATTCTTGAAGTCAGTCATACTGAATCCTTTTGAAAGAGAGTCTCAGATGACCAGAGCCTTTCCTTTTTCAGCCTAAGCAGGAATTTGAGAAACCTATCTGCGTTTCCTGGGACACCAATGTGGAGGGTGGTAGGTGGACGTCTTCTGGCTGTGTGGTCCTCGAAGCTTCTGAGACGCATACTGTCTGCAGCTGTAATCAAATGGTGAATCTGGCCATCATCATGGCTTATGGGGAGCTCACGGTCAGTACCAATTCTCTGCGTTCTGGCTCCCAAATGCAAGGGGGAAAATACTGAGTAAACATCCACTGTGTGTCTCTCATGGTCTTGGGTGTTGTGAGAGGGAGTCATGGGGGACAGATGGAGTGTGTGATATCTTTGCCCTTGGTGAATTCAGAGTCTGGATGAGAAGCCATGATATTGATATATAAAATGAGAAATGACCCTAAGCAGATGCTCTGGGAGAAAAGTAATCACAGATCCCACTTACAGAGTGCCTACTGTGTTAAACCCTTTATTTTAAGTCAAGTGTTTTCAGGCTATTTTACAGGATGGGGGCTGAGGCTCCACAATCCACCTACTTAAGAAACTAAACTGGTGGAAACAAGACTCAAACCCAGGACAGTCTGGCTCCAGAGCTGTCTTTCCACAAAACCATGTAAATGGTACAAGAAGTTGTGCTATAGGAATTCAGAAGTGTGTTGGTGAGAGCAATCAATCAGGGAGGGGTTGGAACATGAACCTTGATGAATGGGTAGATTTAGTGGAGAGGAAGGCTATACAGAACATGTAATATATTTCCTGCACAGCCATGAGTACTTGAAGTATTTTCACTGAATCCTCTTACAACAACTCTACTGGGCAATTACTGTTCATATCCTCTTTTAACAGATGAGGAAACTGAGGCACACAGCAGTGAAGTGTCTTGCCCAAGCTCACAGAGCTCGGACCTAGCAGAACTGTAGTCCATTCTCTCAGTCACCATGTCTGTCACAAAATCATAGGGAGTAGCTTGTGAGATGGCGTCTTGGCACATCTTTAACATGCAGAGGAATTCAAAACATTGAAGTTAATGGTGAATAAAAATAATTGTGAATAGGTGAAGGACTCAGTTTGCCATTTCCACTCCCAGAAGTTGGGGCATCTATCTCTGAATGCCTATGTAACAGCCCTAGTCCAGGCCAGGAAATGGTAACCATTCTAGGTATTTCAGGTAGGGAATGGGGTGCTTGCAAAGTCAGAGAGGGACGGAGGATTTGAAGTCAGGGGCTGCGAATTGGGTCACCCCAACTCTTCAAGATCATCCCTATGCAGCTGTAATGCAGAGGTCAGGAATTGACGCACATCTATGGGGCAGATCACCCCACATCCATGCAATCGAAAAAGGAGCAGCTGGAATGTGGAGCCCACTCATAGCTTGCTCCTGTCTGCAGAAAGCTGGTACCTGCCTGCATCCTACCTTCCAAAACTGTGCAAACATCTCATTGGAGAACCTAAATGACATCTAGGACCCTAGCCCCAGAAGATTCTGGGAAATGTCCTTTATAGACATCTTGCTCTAGTACGACATGGGGAGTGGCACAGGACAGGGGTGGGAATGGGTGCTGATGGGTTCCAGAGGCTGATAATGGACAATATCTAGTTCACTCCAAGTGTCAAAGGGAGAAAAGTTTCCTGAGCCCTTTCTGCCCTGGTCAGGAGACTGGATAATTCTTTTTTTTTCCTGCCTGAAGGAATGTCAGCCCCTCTCTTAGTGGTGTATCTCTTTCCTTGACAGATGGACTTCTCCTTGTACATCATTAGCCACGTGGGCATGATCATCTCCCTGGTGTGTCTCGTCTTGGCCATCATCACCTTCATCCTGTGTCGTTCCATTCAAAATCACAATACCTACCTCCACCTGCACCTCTGCGTGTGCCTCTTCTTGGCCAAGGCTCTCTTCCTCACTGGAGTGGACAAAACTCATAACAAGGTCTCACACCCCTCAGGCTGTGTCTTCACCCAACCCCACCATCTCCACATCAGCCCCCCCATCCTACTCAATAACCTCTATTCTAATTCCTACCTCAGGACCTTTGCATGTGCCATGCCCTCTTTTGATAATATTTATTCCCAGTTCTTCACCTGGTTGACTTCTTTTGTGACAGGTCTCAGTTTAAAATCATTTCCCTGATCATATTATATATTGTGGCGATCTCTCCTATTATATTTTAAGCCATTGGTTCTTAACTTTGGAGGATCCTGCCCCCTAGGGGACACTTGGCAATATCTAGAGACATTATTGGTGGTCATCACTGGGAGGGGGTGCTTCTGGCATCCGGTGGAGACTAAGGATGCTGCCAAACACCCTACAATCTACAGGGCAGCCCTCATGACAGAAAATAATCTGGCAATATTTTTATGAAGGTCAATATGCTACAGCTGAGAAACTCTATCCCTTATCAGTTTATTTTGCTTTCATACCCAGCATTTATTTGAAACCATATTGATTATTTGGTGTTTTATTTGTTGTATATCTACCCTTCCCACTAGACTATGGGCCCCATGAGAGCAAGAACTTTGGCCAATTTATCCCCTTTAACTATACCAGAAACATAGTAGGTTCTTAGGATTTTTCCGAAAGGAGCACTAGCGACATTTTGCCTGGGGTGATCATTTTTGTGCAGAATCACCTCCCTCACTGTGGAATGTTTAGTTTCCCAGGCCCCTTGAGAATTCAATGCTAGTAGCATGTGTCACTGCCATCATTTAACCAGGAGTGAGCCAACTTTTTCTCTAAAGAGGCAGGTATACATATTTTTAGTTTTGCAGATCTTAGGGTTTCTGTTGTAGTCACTCAGCTTTGCTATTTTAGTGCAAAAACAGACATAGAAAATATAAAGATGGGGATGCCTGGGTGGCTCAGTGGTTGAGCATCCGCCTTTGGCTCAGGTCGGGATCCTGGCATCCTGTGATCGAGTCCCGCATTGGACTCCCCACAGGGAGCCTACTTCTCTCTCTGCATCTCTCATGAATAAATAAATAAAATCTTTTTTTTTTTCAAAGAAAATACAGAGATGGATGTGGCCATGTGCCAATGAAACGTCATTTACAAAACAGGCAGCCATCCCAATGGCTACACTGTGCTGACCCCCCACACTCAATCAACTAACCATTCTTCTCAAAACTCTCTCCGTTTTAACACTGAAAGTCACATGTCCTGGGAAGAACAGGTCCCAGGTAAACCAGGATGACTTATCCCTCTACCCAAGGGATGGTAGCACCTGTAGGGAAAATATCTCTATGTAAAGGTTTGTGGGATGAATGGATGGGCTGTGGTTTGGGAACTCCAGTCAAAGTAGTGCCCCACTGTTGCCTCTTGGGTAGGGGATCCTGAGTGTGCATGCTTCTCCTCTCCAGATGGGCTGCGCCATCATTGCAGGCTTCCTGCACTACCTTTACCTCGCCTGCTTCTTCTGGATGCTAATAGAGGCTGTGATGCTCTTCCTCATGGTCAGGAACCTGAAGGTGGTGAATTACTTCAGCTCCCGCCACGTCAAGATGTGGTACCTCTGTGTCTTTGGCTATGGGATCCCGGGGCTAGTGGTGGCTGTCTCTGTCGGTGTTCAACCACAGGGTTATGGAATGCATAATCGGTAAGTGATATCCTCTCTTCCTGAAGAGCCTGCTGCCAGGGTTCATGAGGATAATTGCTTACATGAACAACAAGAAGAGCAGTAACAGTAGTGATGATTGTGTCTACCGTTTATTGAGCTCTTTATGTTTTGTTGGTCTCAGAGCTGCCATGTATAGTAGTAGCACGGGTTGTGCACTGCATGAATCCAGGAGCCACTATTTGTACCGTAGTATAGATAATGGTGGTGGTGTAAACAATGAACTTGGTTGTAAATTTTAAAATCATGGATCCTGGAGCCAGCCTGCTTGGGTTTGAACCCTTGCTCCACTACCTCCTAGCTGTGGGCGAGTTGCTTAACCTCTATATGCTTCCATTTCGTCGTCCATACAATAGGGGCTGATGTAGCAATGCCTACATCATAGTGTTGTGAGGGTTAAATGAGTTATTATCCGCAAAACATTTAGACCAGTGTCTGGCATAGGATAAAACAATATACATATCATCATCATCATCATCATCATCATCACCATTGTCTGTTTTAAAGCAACGTTTGTTTGTCACATGGTTCCATGGGAGAGGATTTGGGGTAGTATTTTGGTGAGTATAACTTAAAAATAATTTCGTAGTTATCTTATAGGACATTAGGGGAAAAAATTGCTAGCATACCAACCAAACTCATGATATCATAGATGTGATTCCATTGTATAAGTTAAAAAAAGTGAATCAACTTTGAAAATCAAGTAAATGACAGGACAAACAGTATGCAGCTAGTGCAGAGACTGTAACTCACTGTGTCATGTCAATGATCCTGTGACCCCTGAGATAGTGGTGCTATTCTAATTTAGATATGAGGAAAGACAGGCTTTCTTGCCACTATGATGAGAAAGGGGCTGTATGAGGACATGAATCTGGGTCTTTCCAATCCCAGGGCCTGTGCTCATCACCCTGTGTTAGAGGCATTGCTGAGCTGTGGTTAGGGAACTAAATATCCAGGTTTCCTCCCTGCCTACTACTGATGGTTTATATTTCAGGTGAGGTCATGAGATAAGCGGTGAGGGAAAGGAATCCATAATAAGTGAGCACTCATCAAACCTAAATCCTGCAAGCTTTACAAACATGCATTATCTCTGGTACACTCAACTGAAATCCTAAGTGCGAGGACTAGGAGTATGAGTAGTGTCCCCTGGATTTGTGCAGTACACAACCTGGGCTGCTGCATATGGTGGTACCTAAAGTAACAGCTTAATAAATGGTAGCTCCGGAGGAGACTGAGGCTCAGCACAGTTGCAGAACTTGCCCTGGGCCACATAGCTAGAAAGTGTCCAAACTGAATTCAGACCTGACTGTCTTGTCAGGAGATGGTGGTGACAGTACAAGGCTACCATGATTGAAGTGTCTGATGTTGGTGTGGGTAATATAAGCACTGACACAGACCAGAGAAGGATAATAGCATATGGGAGTCAGAAAGTTCATGGAAGGCTTCCTGGAGGAGATAGAATTTGAATGAGCCTTGAAAACCCTACTGAAATATACACAGGCAAAGAGGAAGGGGAGTGGCGACAGTAGGTGAGGGCAATAGCTTCCCAAGGGAGGGCTCAAGGTGTGTTTGGAGAACAGGTGGATTGGGCTGAAAGAGGGGGATCTAGGGGAGGGGCATGGAATTTGGGGCATACCTTCCAGGTGGTGAGAACCACAGAAAATTTTGGAAGAGGGGAGTAGTGTTGACAAGGATTTGAGATGACCTTAGGAAGAAGCACCAGGCAGTGAGGAAGAACTGGAAATATGGAGTGCATTTCTGAGCAGGTACAGCTGCAGGTAACAGGCTCCATCCCAGTGGGTACCTCTGGGAAACTGTGTAGGGCATGGACCTCCAATAACCCACCAGTTGTTCACCATCTCCCTCCCAGCAGCCATTGGTTGAGGGCTGCTCTCAGAAAACTAATTCTCTAGAGCTTTTAGTCTGATGCCTCCATGCAGAGATGCAGAAGCTGATAAGGAAATAGTCCAGTATCAACTGAAATGGTTTTCCATGCATTTTCCACCTTTTTATCTACTGCTACCTGGAGACTCCTGTTTCAGGGAGAGAACACCTGGTTGGCCAAACTTGATTTTTTTCCTTCTCTTTTGGGGGAGGCACACTTCCACTAAGGAAATATTGTAGTGCTGTTACTGACTGTGGTGGAATGGTTGTCAGATGGTGAAAACCAATTACTAGAGACATGATGGAAAGAAGCAATGCATGTCTCTTCCTCCTCTCCCTCCATTCCTACTTCCCTCCCTCCATCTTTCCCTCCCTTCATTTCTTTTAAGAAATAATTATAGAATACTTCATCCACACCAGGCTTTGCCCTGAGTGCTGGGTATTCAGAGTTGAACAAAAGTTCAAGGTCTGAGTTCTCACCCAGCTTATAGTCTGGTAGAGAGAGAAGAACAGTTTGCAAGGAAACACACCACCATAACTTATGACACTGATAGATGCAATAAAAAAGAAAAGCAGCAAGCTCTGCTAGAGAAGGACCACGGGTAGGGATGGTCAGAAGTGGCTTTTCAGAGGAGGTGACATTTGACCTGGGATCTGAATGTTCAGTGTACCAGTGAGGAGGTCTGAATAGAGAGGAAGGGGTTACAAAAGTTATGAAGTGAGGATGAGCTCTATGTAGGACATCAAATTAATACTCCAGGAACATTTACCCAGGAAGAAGGTCTGAAAGAAGACTTGCTGAGGCCCAGAGAAAACTGAACTGTAGCTGTCTCATCATGAGAATTTTCATCTCAGGGTCATCTCCCTATACTCTCCTCCATTAGTGCATTCGTTGGGTTGTGAGTAACTTATAGGGTAACTTATAGGGTCTGAGACAAGCACTGACTTCTGTTTCTCTCCATAGCTGCTGGCTGAATACGGAGAAAGGTTTCATCTGGAGTTTCCTGGGGCCAGTCTGTACCATCATCGTGGTAAGCAAATTGCTTGGCACAGTGTGATAAGGAGACCCAAGGGATCCGATGGAAGGTGGATAGCCAAGGTCACGTATTCCTCTCAAACATTCTCCCTTCTGATCCCCAGTTCTTGAGATTTCCAAGTTAGAGTGTAATTTCTTTGACTTCTGATTTTTTTTTCTTGCCAACATTGCAAATCCCCTGGAAGGGACCACAATCTTATCTGTCCTTTGTGTTCCAGAAAGAATGGGTTTATTATTGTCTTGTGAGGATCAGAATTAAATGAGAAAAAAGGGAGGCAAAAAAAATTTTTTTTAGGATCTCAAAAATGATTTTTATTTATTTATTTTTATTTTGGAGGAAAAAAGAGTATTTGATGGTCAGGGAGGAAAAGAAAACAATGGGATGGAAGCAAAGGGAAGCCTAGAGTTGTTTTTTTTTTTTTTCAGCCTTACTAAGGTATAACTGACAAATAAAAATTGTATATATTTAAGGTGTGTAACTTGGTGTTTTGACATATGTATACATTGTGAAATAACCACCACAATCAAATATCCCTGTTTTATAAGGTCATGTGGGATTAGAGCCCACTGTAATGACATTTTAATTTGAACATCTCTGGTAAAGACCCTAATTCCAAATAAGAACACATTGTGAGGTCCCAGGGCAATCACCCAAATAAGCACCAGCAAAGGCTTATTCATTGCTGTAGTAAGGGAGCCAACCACCATCACTTGCACTTTGCAGAGACTCAAAAGCAGTCAGAGGAGTGGCATGGCTTTATAGGGATAAAACAGGGATGGCTTCTGGTGTGGCCTGATCAGAGGCTGTATGCATCGGGATTCTATAGGCAGCCTACCTCAAAGCAACGCATTCAATGTGAATGCTTAGGGCAGCATATTGGCTTTTTCCTTTCGGTCCTAAGTTGGAAGTGAGGGCAGAAATTAGGGAGGCTATCAGTTACCACTCAAGAGCTGGTTGTTTGGGGTCAACTGCTTCCTGGGGTGGTTACTGAAGACTATGGGTCTCTTACAGGTGGTCTGGCCATTGTCCATGTGTATCTCCAATCTCTTAGTCCTTTCTGCTTGACTTTGTAGATCAATTCCATCCTCCTAACTTGGACATTGTGTATCTTGAGGCAGAAGCTTTCCAGCGTCAACGCTGAAGTCTCCAAGCTCAAAGACAACAGGTGCAGACCCTTCTTCCTTTTCTCTCCTTTCCCAGTCTCCTTCATTCTCCCCACAAACATCCACTGAGTCCCTTTTGTATGCCTGGTCCTGGTGTCCAGGACAGAACAGCTCAGAGTCTAGATCTGGGGTCTCAAACACCAGGTCTGACACTTACAAGCTGTGTGACCTCAGACAAGTTACATAACTTCTCTGAAACTGTTTCCTTATCCTTATTTACCATGGGGATATTAGCATTGTCCACTTTATCTGGCGTATGAAGTAGTGACACAGTTACTACAACTAACAATAGTATTGAAACTATTAGTACATTTTCTAATTCATCTACTGTGCATAATTATATGTGATATTTACAAAAATAGAATCATTCATTTTTATAACCATTTTCTCTTAATAGCATGGATATTTTTCAATTTAACTAGACATTCTTTGACAATATCTTTTTTTTTTTGTAAAGCATTTCAGTGTAAGAATACAGCACAACTTACTTAAAACATGCCTTATTCATGGACATTCGAGTTGTTTCTGATTCCTTGGGGGGAGGAGGGTTATTATAAAGAATGCAGTCTTGAATACCCTAATAGATCTTTTTCCATGCCTGTGGTTGTTCATAATGGTAGGCATGAAACTGCCCAAGTCAAATGGCAGGTTGGATTGTCACTTTTAGTATATATTGCAAATTATTTTCCAGAAAATTTGTTTCCATTTGCAAGAGTGCTTATTTACTTACAGCTATGCCAACACCAGGATTTATCATTTTTGTTGTGTCATTTTTGCTAATTTAATGGGTTAAATATGTTATTTTATTATTTTAGTTTTGTACATATTATTTAATCTTACAGATGTGAGACATTTTCTTTTTTTTTATAAATTTATTTTTTATTGGTGTTCAATTTGCCAACATATAGAATAACACCCAGTGCTCATCCCATCAAGTGCCCCCCTCAGTGCCCGTCACCCAGTCACCCCCCCCCCACCCACCTCCTGTTCCACCCCCCTAGTTCGTTTCCCAGAGTTAGGAGTCAGATGTAAGACATTTTCATACTCTTATAGACCATTTGTGTTTCTTGATCAATCAACTATTTTTTAAAAGATTTATTTATTTGTTTGTTTGTTTGTTTGTTTGACAGAGAGATAGAAAGTACAAGCAGTGGGGGGAGGGACATGGGAGAGGGAGAAGCAGACTCCCTGCTGAGCAAGAGCCTGATGCGGGCTCGATCCCAGAACCCCAAGATCATGACATGAGCCAAAGGCAGATACTTAACCAACTGAGCCACCCAGGCACCCCTCAACTAATCTTCATTAGATCTAGCAAAGTCAGACATTGTCTAGGTTTTTTTGTTTTAAAGTACCGTTTGCTTTGGCATGGATGGAACTGGAGGATATTATGCTGAGTGAAGTATGTCAGTCGGAAAAGGACAATCATCATATGGTCTCACTCATATGGGGAATACAAGAAAGAGTGAAAGGGATTATAAGGGAAAGGAGGGGAACTGAGTAGGAAAAATTAGAGACGGAGACAAACCATGAGAGACTCTAGCTCCAGGAAACAAAAAAGGGTGGTGGAAGGGGAGGCGGGTGGGGGGTGGGGTACCTGGGTAACAGGCACTGAGGAGGGCACTTGTTGGGATAAGCACTGGGTGTTATACTATATGATGGCAAATCAAACTTCAATTAAAAATAATAAAAAATAAATAAATATTTTTATTTATTTATTTAGATACACAGAGAGAGGCAGAGACATAGGCAGAGGGAGAAGCAGGTTCCCTGTGGGGAGCTGGTCTAGGTTTTATTGTCAGGAACCATATGAGGTCCTTTGTTTTCCTGTCAGTATCCAATCCCTCATCCATCCCATCTGAAATAATTTTTTTCTAAAAATTATTTTTAAAAAGTTGATACAAAAAGTATAAAAGAGTTAATACATGCAATGATAAGAAAAAAAAGTTTTTAAGATTTATTTATTTATTCATGAGACACGAGAGACACACAGAGAGAGAGAGAAAGAGAGAGAGAGAGGCAGAGACACAGGCAGAGGGAGAAACAGGCTCCATAGGGAACACATGAAAAGTAACCCCCTGATCCCCAGGTCTCCAGATTCTCTTCCACCTTAAGCAACCATTATCATTTGAATTGAGCTTCCTTCCAGAATATTCTCTACCTACACATTCACCTTCTATTACATAAATGATAGGATACTATACATATCATTCTGAACTTTGGGTTTTCCTCACATAAATACATAGCTGACTTCATATCAATGCTTATGATTAAAAACAACTAACAAAAATGTTTTTGGGCCAGACACTCTGGCAAGCACCCTTGGAGTTTTGTTATCTCATTTAATCTGCAGAACAAGTAATATCGCCCTGTAGGTATTGTATTATTATCCCTACACCAATTTTAGGAAACTGAGACACAGTTTCCATGGTATCCAGGACCTGTATATGGTCACTCTTATACCATTTTAAAAAATGGCTTTATGGGGCACCTTTCTGGCTCAGTCAGTGCAGCATGCAACTCTTGATCTCAGGGTTGTGAATTCAAGCCCCATGTTGGGTGTAGAGATTACCTAAAAAGTAAAATCTCTTGAAAAATTGTTTTATAATTTCCTTTTAGTTTCTATAGATTTGCCTATTCTAGACATTTCCTATAAATGAAGTCATGTACTCTGTGTTCTTCTGTGACTGGCTTCCCTCACTGACATAATGTCTTTATGGTTCATCCACGTTGTAGCAGGTTTTAGTACTTTATTCCTTCTTATGGCTGAATAATTTTCCAGCGTATGGATGGACCATTATTTTGTTTATCTGTTCATCAATGGGTGGACCCCAGGGTTGTTTTAGTTAGGGGAGGGGGAGAAGAATGAGTGCTTGACAGGTGTGGGGTTTCTTTTTGGGGTGATAAAAATATCTTAGGACTGGGTAGTTATGATGATTGTACAGCATTGTGAATGTGCCAAATGCCACTGAATTGCACACTTTAAATGGTTAAAATGGTGAATTTTATGTTATGCGAGTTTTTCTTCAATTAAATAAAAAAAAATCCTCGTATTTTATACTATGGTATTACCATTCACTTAATGTGTCCTCAGTTCCTGGACCTGTAGGTCCTTTGAACATTTTCATCACTATCAATAATATTGCATTAAATATATGTGTCTACACATCTTTGTGCTATGTGTATCTGTAGGCCATCTGCCTTTTAAATGCTGATGGGACTCCATTTCCCTTCCTCTGAGCTTGGAGACCACCCCATATTTATTCTCACCTAGGTGGCAGATGACATGGTGGCAGCCTCAGACTGGTGGTGGGAGTACGGTCCATGAGGACAACAGCCACTGCCCAGAACTTTATCCTTTCCAAATCTTCTCCCCTAGGTTACTGACATGCAAGGCCTTTGCCCAGCTCTTCATCTTGGGATGCTCCTGGGTGTTGGGCATCTTCCAGATTGGATCCATGGCTCGTATCATGGCCTACCTATTCACCATCATCAACAGCCTGCAGGGAGCCTTCATCTTCATCATTCACTGTCTGCTCAACCGCCAGGTACATAGCTGGTGCCCTTCCCAGCCCCATCCTTCCCAGGAATATGCCTATGACAACCCACATCCCTGCATCTAGGACTAATTCATCTTCTAGTGATGTGTCTCTTCCTCCAGGTACAGGAAGAATATAGGAGATGCCTTACCAGGAAGATCAAACCCAGTTCCGAGTCCCAGACCTCAGGGATATTACTGTCCTCTGTCCCCTCCACTTCTAAGACGGTGAGAGACTGTGTGTTTTATGCAGTTCTGTTCAAATGGAACTACTGCTTCTTAGCAATACCAGACACCACTATGCACCGAGTACCTACTGTGAGCTAAGAGTGTCCATGTATATTAGCACATTTAATAAAGTGTGGTGTTCAAGAGTTGGGGTTTAGGACCCGGGGTTGCCTGGGCTCAAATCCCAGCTTTGCCCCTTAGTACCTGTGTGAGCTAAAAAAGATGAAATGATGACTCATACAGACATAACATGAGAATACATTAAGGATTTTATTCTATTCACTTATCAGTGAGAGTGAGGCAGATGTTGAACTGGCTCAAAAGAGAATGCACGGAAGATATATATATATATATATATATATTATGTAATATATATTATGTATTATTTAACATGTATCATATATATCTCATATATTATGTACATTATATACAATTATATGTTTTATATCTTTTGTTTACATTATACATGTATGTTATATATATTATATAATACATACATACTCTGTTCTTTGCATTCTTTTCTTTTTCGTATTTTTTTATTGGAGTTCAATTTGCCAACATGTAACACCTAGTGCTCATCCTGTCAAGTGCCCTCCTCAGTGCCCGTCTTTTTTGAGCCAGTAATAACATCTGCCAGGTTCTCTTGTTGATAATTATAAATAAGATTATATGTATATAATTATGAACTTATATATTATCTAATTATTATACTATAATATATAATATATAAAATGTCATATTATCTATTATAAAAATGAATTACAATATATATTAACATATGAATTATATTTCACATATATGACTTCAGAAACATTGAAATGAATGTGCAAATGGAGGCAAAACTGATTTTTCCACATAATTCCACATATTTTTGCATTGCTACCATTGCCATTTAAAATTTACAGGGTTATAAAAAAAATTTACGACAGCTCTTCCATCCTCCATTAGAATTTTTTATATTTTCACTGATTTATTCTAAGCACAAGAAACTAAGATTCAGTGGCTTATTTATGTTTTATTTTTTATTGGTGTTCAATTTGCCAACATATAAAATAACACCCAGTGCTCATCCCATCAAGTGCCCACCTCAGTGGTGGCTTATTTAAATAGGAAATTCTTCTTCTTTTTTTTTGCCCTCAAGAATAGAAGCTCAGAGTTAGGTGTTTCTGATACTGGTTCTGTTCCTCAGGGGTGTTGTAAAGGATCTAGGTTTTCCCTACTTTTCCATTCCACTAACAATATGTTGACTTCATCAAATGATTTTCATGGTTGCAAGATGGCTGCCATAGCTCCAGACATCACAACCATGTTGAAGGCAAGAAGAGGGATGGGACAGAAGCAGCAAACTCTTTCTCTCTTTCACAGGAAAGAAAAGCTTTCCCAGAAACCCCTCAGGGGATTTCCCTTTCACCTAGTTGGTCAGAATTGTATCACAGGCAACACAGAGTTACAAAGGAACTTAACAAAACACATATTTGGCTTCTTTGCCTCTAGAGTGGAAGCTATTGATGACGAAGAGGTTGAGAAGAGCTTTCAGGTTTGCCATTAGTGTCTGCCACACTAGAGACCATCAATGTTAACATTTTAGTGTTTGTCCTTCCAGTGTTTGTTGCCACATTTCTCTGTGTTTACAGAAGACCCGTGTATTTATAAAACCCCTGGAATCACATTTCTAATCCTAATCCTCCTGATTCTAATTCTGATTTCTCTCTCACAGGATTAAAGCTCTTCTTCCTTTCATATGTGCTATGGAGAAACATCTGAGGAAAGCAGATACCTACGGGAGCCTACTCTGAAATCTCTTCACAGCTTGATGCACAGATGCAAGATCCTGCCAGCCCCTGCACTCTCTGGGAAACAAGACTTTCTCTTCTAGGTTATCAGTCCATCTTCCATGTTCTGCTCTTTGAGTTTCCAGAGTTTGGAAGAAACAGATCCCAGTGCAATGGCATGGCCAAGATTATCTGGCTACTATTTTGGTTTCTCCCAAGTTCACGGTGCGTGACTGCAAGTGTGTCTCTCCAGAACACAGAGCAGCCCCTCAATTAATGATTTACCATATGACTGAGTGACATACCCTTTGACAAAGCCTCCTCCTGCTTTGAAAGAAATGGTCAGTAAAACAATAATTATGGGCCCCAAGGGGGTGAATAAAACACATAGACCTATCAACTACTTTTGGACAAACACTTAATGCAGTTACATTGGTGAGTAGGAGTGCTGGACGGAGGAGAATCCCAGCGTTTCATGGAGGGTTGCAGCGCTTGATGACAGCACACTTTGGAAAGTGTTTTGGTTTCCTGGGACCTTTCAGGGAACCAACACCTCTCTCCAGGAACTTTCATGGGACTTGCCTAGGATTCACACTGCTCACAAAGCTATCACCATCCCACGTTGCCCTCCATCCTGCATAAAATCTTGATTGCCAGGGAGAGAGGAGGGAGATGCAACTTTAAAATATAGATATACTCTGTGCTCACTTTGGTAGCACATATACTAAAATTGGAACAATAAAAAATATATATCCTCCCTTCCATGGCCACTCTAATCCTCCCTACTCAGAGTGTGGTCTGTGGACCAGAAGCATTGGCATCACCTTGTGAGGAAAGCAGGATACCAGGCCCTACCCTCTATTGGCCGAACCAGAACTTGTGTTTTAAGGAGAGCCCCTGGGGACTCACTCATGAATGTTCTAGAATATTCTGGAATACTCTTCTGTTTGCCATGCAGATAGCAGAGCTTGTCTTTAAAACCAGAAAGAGGGACGCCTGGGTGGCTTAGCAGTTTAGCACCTGCCTTCGGCCCAGGGTGTGATCCAGGAGTCCCGGGATCGAGTCCCGCATCAGACTCCCTGCATGGAGCCTGCTTCTCCCTTTGCCTGTGTCTCTGCCTCTCTCTCTCTCATAAATAAATTAAAAATCTTTTAAAAATAGTCATAAATTAATTATTAAATTAAATATTTTTAAAAACAGAAAAAAAATGTCTTCTTGACTTTTGGACTTTGCATCTACCATTCCCTCCTCCTAGGACACCTTTCCTCAAAATCCAGATAATTTCTACCTTTTTTTTTTTTTTTTTGAATCTCAGTCATCACTTCCACCAGGGAGCATTCTTTGAATCTCCTGAAGTAAGATTAGATGTCCCTCTGTGTGTCCCTAGGGCTTCATGCTTTCTAACCTTGTATTATAACTTCTTTTTCTTAGGCGTCTCCAGCTTAGACTGTGAGCTCTATAAGCACAGGGAATTATATCTAGTAGATTCTCCACAAATATGTTGAATGAATGAGTAAATGAATGATTAATCCCCATTTTCAGGATGAAGAAACCGAGGCTCAGAGAAGTTAGGTCACTTTCCCAGCATCACACAGCTGTAAGTGGTTGAGCTAGGCTGTGAGCTCTTGACAACAGAGCTCCTCTTCCAGACCCTGTAACTTTCTCCTTCTCTTCCTTTGACCACAGACATTCTTAGTGTGGGGATACCGAGGAAAGACTAAATAATTACTTTGAGTCAACTTACCACCTAAGATTCAGTTAGCTAAGTAATGATCATGGGTTAGACAATTTGATAACGATATTAAACTTGGTTGATGGAAGCTCAGTCTTTATTATTTGTGGCAGCCACAGCTTGAGAGGGAAGCTGACCCACGAGTTCATTTATGACAGGTTGGTCTTCTGTGCTTGGCTTGTCCAGAGTGTTCAATACAGATGCCGCAGTTCTAAAGGATAATGAAACAAGAGATGGCACAGCTCCTACCCATCACCAGTTGCGGTAGATTGATTGGATCAATGGCCTCAAGAGGTGGCCTCTATTCTCTACACCCCTTCCCTATCACTTTGTGACCTCTTACTGTTCTCACTCAGGCTTGGCCTTGAGACTTGCTTTGGTCAGTAGAATGATTCAAAGACAGAGGGTTTCAAAATTGGGTGTGCATTCCTTTTTGTCCTTTCCATGATTAGTTTTTTAAAATTTTGTGTATATTTTTTCATTGGAGTTCGATTTGCCAACATACAGTATAACACCCAGTGCTCATCCCGTCAAGTGCCCCCTCAATGCCCATCACCCAGTCACCCCATTCCCCCGCCCACCTCCCCTTCCACTACCCTTTGTTTGTTTCTCAGAGTTAGGGTTAACTTGCTCTTGCATCCTTGTCTCCACCCTGAGAACATGCCTGCTGACCAGCAGGAGGGGTGTGAGAAACATAGAGGAAAGTTACGTCATCCCATTATACCAGCTGAGGCTGGCCTCAATCAGCCACCTGGCCGACTTGTAGCTGATGGCAGTCAGGTGAGCAAGCCCAGCTAAGATAGCAGACCTGCTCAGCCAACTCACAGACTCAGGAGTAGCAATCAAGTATCATTGTTTTAAGGTACTGAGTTGGTTTTTTTTTAATATTTTATTTATTTATTCATGAGAGACACATAGAAAAAGGCAGAGACATAGGCAGAGGGGGAAGCAGGCTCCCCACAGGGAGCCCGATGCAGGACTTGAGTCATGACCTGAGCCCAGGGGAGAGTCTCAACCACTGAGCCACCCCAGCGTCCCAAGGTACTGAATTTTAAGAGTGGTTTGCGATGAAGTATTATTTGTGGCAATTACTAATTGATACAGTAACCAGTGGATTATCAACATTTTGTATTTAATTGCAACAATTTGGAATATACAAAATGAAGGATTTGAGTTTGCATTTCCTCTTAGGTATCAGGATCTATAAATTTGTTTTTTTAAAATAATAAATTTGTAATGCTTAAACTTCTTCCTCTTAGAAGATTTGCACAAAGCCTTGCTTTTTTATTTTATTTTATTTTAATTATTTTTAATTTAAATTCAATTAGCCAACATATAGCACATCCTTAGTTTCAAATGTGGTGTTCAATAATTTATCAGTTGCCTGTAACTCCCAGTGCTCTTCATGTCTCATATCCTCCTTAATGCCCATCACTCAATTACCCCATCCCCCAACCCACCTCCTGCCAGGAGCCCTCAGTTTGTTTCCTAAAGAGTCTCTCATGGTTTTTCTCCCTCTGTAATGACTTCCTATTCAGTTTTCCCTCCCTTCCCCTATGATCCTCTGTGCCGTTTCTTATATTCCACATATGAGGGAAACTATATGATAGTTGTCTTTCTCCTATTGATTTATTTCACTCAGCATAATACCCTCCTGTTCCATCCATATTGATGTAAATGCTAAATATTCATCCTTTCTGATTGATGAGTAATATCCCATTTCATATATATATATATATAGATATAGATATAGATATAGATATAGATATAGATGATATACCACATCTTCTTTATCCATTCATCTGTTGATGGACATCTGGGCTCTTTCCACAGTTTGGCTGTTGTGGACATTACTGCTACCAACATTGGGGTGCAGGTGTCCCATCATTTCACTACATTTGTATCTTTGGGGTAACTACCCAGTAGTGCATTTGCTGGGTTGTAAGATAGCTCTATTTTCAACTTCTTAAGGAACCTCCACACAGTTCTCCAGAGTGGCTGCACCAGCTTGCATTCCCACCAACAGTGTAAGAACAATCCCCTTTCTCCTCATCCTTGCCTACATTTGTTGTTTCCTGACTTGTTCATTTTTGCTATTCTGACAGGTGTGAGGTGGTGTTTCATTGTGGTTTTGATTCGTATTTTCCTGATGCCACGTGATATGGAGCATTTTTTCATGTGTCTGTTGGCCTTTTGTATGTCTTCTTTGGAGAAATATCTGTTCATGTCTTCTTCCCATTTCTTGGCTGAATTATTTGTGTTTTGTTTGGGTGTTGAGTTTAATAAGTTCTTTATAGATTTTGGATACTAGCCCTCTATCTTATATGTCATTTTCAAATATCTTCTCCCATTCTGTCAGTTGCTTTTGGTTTTATTGGCTTTCCTTTGCTGTGTTCCTGCTTTTTATCTTGACAAAATCCCAAAAATTCATTTTTGCCTTTGTTTCCCTTGTCTTTGGAGATGTGTCTAGCAAGAAGTTGCTGTGGCTGAGGTCACAGAGGTCGCTGCCTGTGTTCTCCTCTAGGATTTTGGTGGATTTCTGTCTCACATTTAGGTCTTTCATCCATTTTGAGTTTATCTTTGTGTATGGTGTAAGAGAATGGTCCAGTTTCATTCTCCTGCATGTGACTGTCCAATTTTCCCAGCACCATTTGTTGAAGAGACTGTCATTTTTCCTTTTTTTTATTTTTTATTTTTATTTTTTTACTGTCATTTTTCCAATTGGTGTTCTTTCCTACTTTGTCGAATATTAGTTGACCATAGAGTTAAGCGTCCATTTCTGGATTCTCTATTCTGTTCCATTGATCTGAACAGACCCATTAACAGGAAGGAAATTGAAGCAGGCATCAAAAACCTCCCAAAATACAAGAGTCCAGGGGCAGATGGCTTCTCAGGGGAATTCTAGCAAACATTTAACGAAGAAATAATACCCATTCTTCTGAAGCTGTTTCAAAAAAAAAAAAAAAAAGAAATGGAAGGAAAACTTCCAAACTCATTTTATGAAGCCAGCATTACCTTGATCCCAAAACCAAAGACCCCACCAAAAATAATTTCAGACCAATATCCCTAATGAACATGGATGTTGAAATACTCATCATGATACTAGCCAATAGGATCCAACAGCACATTAAAAGGATTATTCACCAGGACCAAGTGGGATTTATTCCTGGGATGCAAAAATGGCTCAATATTTGCAATCACATTAATAAAAGAATAAATCACATTAATAAAAGAAAGGATGAGAACTATATGATCCTCTCAATAGATGTAGAAAATCAAAAGATAGCATCCTTTCTTGATGAAAACTCTCCACAGTGTAGGCATAGAGGGTACATACCTCAATATCATAAAAGCCATTTATGAAAGCCCATAGAGAGCATCATTCTCAATGAGGAAAAACTGAGAGCTTTTCTCCAAAGGCATGTCTTTATGACAGTGTAGCACATTGGTCAAAAATATAGTCTCCCTAAGGAACTGTATATATATATATATACAGTTATATGTCTCTTATATTTTAAGAGACATATGCTCCTATTTTATTTTTTTAGAGAGCGAGTAAGTGGGGGGTGGGGGGGACAGAAGGAGAGGGAGAGAATCTTAAGGAAGCTCCATCCTCACCGCAGAGCTTGACATAAGGCTCAATTTCAGGACCCTGAGATTATGACTAGAGCTGAAACCAAGAGTCAGATACTTTGAGCCACCCAGGTGCCCCAGGGACTCTATATTTCTAAGGTAAGCAAAAGCTGTGGCCTCCACACAATAATTTTTCTTACTATAAACATCAAGCTACCTTTGGTATAGTCTTTTACCCCCACTTCCTCTACTGCCTCCACTACATGGAGAAAAGGGATTCAGAATAAAAACTACATCATTCTCCAATCCCATAAATATAAGGATCCATTCATTCAAAAAATTTTTGTTGACCACATACAAGTGCTTCCCTTAGAACATTAAAATAATTGAGAAAACATTGAAAAATTGAAGTTAAGGATCTTAGAACTGAAAACAAATTTAAATATCTTATTTTTCCCCAAACCAGAATTTATTAAAATTTTACTTCCTTGGTTTTAATGGAAGTAAGCTCAATAATATTTTCAAAATCAAGTTCTAGAAAAAAAAAGCTATTAAAAAGTACATTGAAGAGGCACTTGGTTGGCTCAGTGGTTGAGCATCTGCCTTTGGCTCAGGTCATGATCCCGGGGTCCTGGGATCAAGTCCCACATCGGACCCCCCACAGGGAGCCTGCTTCTCCCTCTGCCTGTGTCTCTGCCTCTCTCTCTGTGTCTCTCATGAATAAATAAATAAAATCTTTTTTAAAAGTACAATAAGAAAGAGTGTGTAAGGGTGCACATTTTTCTTTTGTTTTTGCCACAGGGTCCGTTATGACCTGGCATAACACTGGATATTTTGGATGTTTGGTTTATCGTGGGTTTTTTTGCATTGATTTTTGATGTTTTGAAAT